AACTGGATGTTCACAGTTCAGTATCCGCTTTATTTCAATTTTCACTATAAAAAAGTAAAAATTAGTGTTGGAAACTTTTGAGGGTTAGGGCACTGATCATTAGTGGGCCCCCCTCTGTCTAAAGGCTGACTATAGAATAAAGAGCATCAAACACGAACAGTAGCGGCGGAACACCTTCAATTAAGGGCCTGCCGACTTTTGGTTCCATTCTTTCCATGCAACGCCCATAGCGCTAACGTTAAAATGCCAAAATCAAAGGGGGGCACGGTGCCCCGGTGCCCTCCCCGTTCCGCCGCCTATGAACACGAAAGCGAAATCTGAGGCATTTTGGAAAAATGAGTATGCCCCGCAGCGTCCGATAACTACCACCTTCCGGTGGGTCAAGCCAACGGGGCCCAAGGCTATAATGGCACTTTTATAACGATAGCACTAACCTTGTCTCACTTTTTGTTGAAGTCTGTTCCGAATGGTTTCGGCGACAGACTGGCTGCACTGAGGTATGTGCAACTTTAATTAAAGCCACCTGAGGCACCCTGACACCAGGCTGAATCTGGGTTGGAAATGCTCTTGCAGATATCACTGGCCGCTGATTCTCGAGTGCCTGAATCGGTAGATGTCGTGGCAAAATTTGGTGTGATAATTTGGACCTTACCGCAGTCAGCGCACCCTAAAAGAAACGCCCTACCCAGAGCTTCTGGATTCTCGTTTCAGTCCATCGTTCCTTCACCCCAGCCCACCGCCACGCTCCCTCACCTCAGCCCTCCGTTCCCAGCTTGACGAGCATTTGGGCCTTAGTTAAGCCTTGCTGTAGGCTAACTGTATAAACCCATCGAGACAGCCCGTCTCGGTGGGCTTAGTTGGCGAGCTACTGCCTTGGGGAGGGTTTCTGGCGGATCGCTGTCCCAATAGGTTTAGATGCGACCGACTGTCTCTGAATGTTTGAGCGGTCTCCTCCCGCTGTGAGCTAGTTGATATCTGTCTCAGAAATACTTTTTAAAGGAAGGTTAAACGGAAATCGAACGTAAAATGAACAGAGGAAATGCTAACGAGTTACCTCATGTTGAAGGAAAGCGCTCGCCTACTTCAAAAGGTTTGAAACCGTTCTTCAACATCTAATATGGGATCGGGTTATGGCACAACTTTTCCCATTGAAACTTTTTTTCTAATACAGCAATACGAAAAGCGTTACATTGTCCACTGGCGGATCCAGGGAGCGGGCATTTAAAGCAAATATTTACTCTCCCTCCCCTGGCCCCTGCATCGCCCGAAATAGACAAAGCGTACGTTATGTTTCCTAATAATAACACTTTTATCAGGATTTTTTATTTTTTTGCTTTATACTGTTCAGCAGTAGATCCGTAAGGAATCGGAATCCAAGGAGTTTTTGGATTTGGGACACTTTTTCGGGGGGTATGTCCCCTACAGTGTCGGAAACGTCTTTCTGGATCCGCCTATGACATCATCTCGACTGGGATCTTGCCCCCCCCCCCCCACGCCAAAATCGAATCCGCCGCCACTGCCGGTGTCCAGTCATATGTTGCAGCTGCATTTGGGTCATACCAACCATCAAATCATTGAAAACGTTTCGTAATGGCGAAACGATCGAACATCACGACGATCTCTGTTGTTTGCATGATTAACACCAGCCAATATGAGTGCCTGGGTGGCCTTCGTGCGAGATGTGAAGGCTCCGCCGCCTCCGCCATTCGTCGCCAGTTGCGCCGGCGCCGCCGATCGCGCTCGTCATAAACACTGGCCTCGGCCGAGCTCCGGCCGTGTCTGGCTCGAGCTGGTTTTCGCCGGCCTCCCCGCAGATGACTGGGCCGCGGCCGCTGGGCCGTACCGCCTGCTGAACTGCTGCCTCACCGGCCAGCCCAAGGCCCTATGGCCAGCCACTACCGACCTGCGCCCGCCTTGGGCGCACATGTGAGCTGACGAGCGGAACAGGCTGGCGACCGGCGCTGAGGCGTGGTCGAACGACGGCGACGCAAGGCACACAGGTGTGCTTCGCAGGTGTAAGGTCGGCTTGAATCACCGCCTCAACAAGGGTTTGATTGTTTCTCATCGGAAGATTTGTAGAAAACCCTTCGTTGTTTTCAAATTCACTTGATCCATGTTTCGCTTTGGTAGACAAAATAAATTATCATTGGGTATCCTTGGGTTGTTTTATGCATGAGGTACGACTATGTGGCTGTTATTCCATTACGAACTCTTTGTTTCCTGGCTGTCACAGCCATTAATTTTCTTAATTCGATGAGAATCTTTCACACGTGTCAATGCCGCCCTTGGCTGCGTTCGACATTGATGCAGCGCTCGCCGCCTGTCCCGGCCATCGGCACAGGCCGGTTATCTATATACTCGGTGGGTATATCATTTGCCTGCCGCCGACCCCGACAGTGAAAGTGCGTTCCTGGCGGCGCGGCGATGCGCCTCGTTCGCGCCGGGGGCGGTGTGCTGACCGAGGCCTGCAGTGGCCGTCGCGGGGCTGCCAGGGTCGGATGGAGACCGGCCTGACCCTGCCGCCGGCGACACAGGACTATAACTGCCGCGCTGCACTGTCAGAACAAGGCCGGAAGGATGGAGCAATGGGACTGAAATTAGCCGGAAACCAAACGATGCGACAGGGTTGATGGATGGATGTTGTTTTTTCAGTTCTCATTTCGCTGGTCCATAAGGAGAAAGATATCGCTCGAGGACGCAGCCCGAAACACCGCTGGAAAACTCAAAGCAAATGCTCGTATCGCATGCAAGCAAAATAAGAAATCAAACAGAATCCACACATACACTCGGTTATGCCTACCTGCAGCGCAATGAGGTAACTGGTCCTCATTTGCAGACGATTTGGAAGACCTGCAGCGGTATCGAGGATCTAATTGACCCTTCTCGCAGCCGCAGAGCACCTGTGCTCTCCCCGCCCAGCCCTGTCCTGAGAGCAGCCGTCCGTTGCAAAACTGGCGCCGGTGGCACGCGGCCTCGCCGTCGGTGCCTTCTCGCGTGCCGCAACCCAGGTGGATCGCGGCCTTACCTAAAGGGCGGCCCAGTTCCATTGTGCTCCTCAACAGAGGCGAGAACAAACTGTGGCAGCTGGCGACCTAGTCACAGATGTGTTGATTGCCGCGGTAGGAATGTTCCGCAGCTGTTCGCAGCTAGCTACGCACTTCTCGTGCCGATCAGCAGTTAAAATGTGTTTCCAATTAAAAGGTATTTTGCACCGAGATAATAACAAGATCATTGGCGGGTCGCACGAACAATGAACAAGCTAATTTTGTTTTGCATCTATCGACTTGGCTGTAATCTCGACCTCAACTCATAGAGTTTAGGTACGGCCCTCCAGGTATTAGTGGTTGCCTGGTTGGTTGCCAACATCAAAATAATCGATCTGCATTGATGAATACGTATAATGGCTGTTGAAAACCATTGCCGAAGTGTGTGCACGAACCCTCTTCTCATTTCTATTGAGTCATTTCACAGAGGTGTCCCTGTCATTTAATATTATTACACCAAAAGGACATAGGCTAACCAACCACTCTTTTGCTGGAGGGCCGTACCAATATATCAGTTTGTTCACCTTTAGCCTAACATTCGTTATGACTGTGCTTTTGACGAAACTTAAGTACCTATAAAGTCTTAGTTACGTATTGTTTGACATTGTCCAAGCAAGGCGCTCACACGTAAACGGCAGGCTCTAGCAAGTCGATAATCGGCTGAGCCGGCAAACGAGTGCCGTCTATCCGAAGCTATCTTAGGCTGCGTACCAGGAGATCGGTTCGAGGCCTTTCTGCCACAGAACGGAAATGTCTGATTCAGACTCAGCTCAGCGCACACACACGTTGGCACTAGCGATAGTTTCCGCTCGGCCGTCACATCCCCGCCAGCTGCGCGGACGTGCGGTGTCCAGCTGCACCCTGAAACCGACGCACACACGGCGGGGAGGGAGGGACGGGGAGAGAGGTCCCTGACGCCGCCGCGGGCTTCCCGCAGTTCCAGTCGTCTCCGTGCCGTCCTTCCGCCGCGCCGAGCAGGACGGCCGGAGTATTTCCTGTGGATGCTGGCCCGCTGGCCTCGACTCCGGGCCGGTCTGAGAACCAGGAGGGCAGGGGTGCAGAGAGGACCACGTCCTCCGGGGGCCGGTCTGAGAACCAGGAGGGCAGGACAGAGAGGAAGGACCACGTCCTCCGGGGCCGGTCCACCCGGTGACCTCGCCGGCACAATCTGTTATTCAGGAGCAGCCGGGTGGTGTAAAACTCATCACCGCTACTATAGTGGCAAACGGTGGCCTTGACCCGTGCGTGTGGGGCCCGAGAGTTATCATCTCATTTAATGCGTAAGAACATCGCCAGGTAAAACGTTGCAACACATCCTCACGTTCGACGTTTGCATACAATTATATTTTAAATGGAACGTTGAGGCGGTTTAACACCTTATGAACGATATCCTCACGTAAAACGGACGTCATACCTACCTCTCATGTCCAGGTCCCCAACAAAGCAACGCCATGGACCATCTCCGTTCGTCGAAAATACTAGCTATCGTCTCTTCAGCGATCACAGACCTGAAGCGGCCGAAGCCAATGAAGCGGCCGAGCCCTGTCTTCAGCCTGAACGGCAACGTCAGCGTAGCCTCCGCAGAAGTTATCGTCAATTCACGTCACCGGGTGAAAATCAGCAGATAGTGCCGGTGTAACTGCACTGTGGGTGGCGTGGAAAGCTAGCACCGTACACTGTGCATGGTGCAGACACGCTCAAAAATAAAATAAGACTGAATAAAAAGTTAAACGGATTACCGTCCAAACTTTATCACAAGCTCGTATTCCCGTCTTCTTCATATGTTAATTTGTGACCGCCGTTGTTGTTATCTGTCGTAGGTTCTGTTCTCTGCCACAACCTATACCCTGCCACACTGCAGTGTTCCCTTTCGTCTGTCGGCAGGTTCACCCGCTCTAACCATAAACCTAGCTTATGTCACCGACTCTGACCGCCGTCCCCCGCGTCTGCCGGCAGGTTCACCGGCTCGGAGCGCCAGGCGCGCTCCGCGGCGCCGGGCCAGGCGTCTCCGTCCCGACAGATCCTGCAGCAGGTCCCCGAGTCCACGACGGACGCGGTGCCACTGGAGCGCCTGCTGGAGCTAGAGCCGCTGGTGGACACCTCGCCGGCCCAGTCCGAGCGGCAGGCGCTCGAGACCGTCAAACGCACCGTGCCCAACCTGCCCATGGACTTTTGGGCGCGCCGCGTGATGCGCACCTCGCGCGTCAACAGCACGTGCGCGCGCCTGCCGTCGCTCTACGACATCAAGTTCAACAACATCTACTGGCAGGTGCTGGAGACGAGCAATGGGACATACAACTTTTACGGTGCGTACTACGACAACCGGCCGGCGCTGGCGATCGGCCCGCTGGTGCGGCTGCTGGTCATGATCGACCGTCTGAAGCCGACGCTGCTCACGCACTGCCAGATGTGGTTCGATCAGCTGCCCTTCCCGATCATCGCGCCCGTCATCGAGTACAAGTACGTGTGGTACGAGAAGTGGGGCAACTACGAGCAGGGCATCCTGCAGCCGTACCTGATGGCGTGCCAGGTGCCGCGCCAGTTCCGCCAGATGGTGCCGCGCGCCGTCACAGTCGTGGAGCGGCCGTGCGACAAGTCCACCGTGGCGCTGAAGGTGGTCAACAACCGGCCGCTGCCCGGACAGCGCCGCCAGGACTTCGCCGTCTGCGTCAAGGGCCTGTCGTTCCCCGACCACGACCTCTCCGTCCGGCTGGTGGAGTGGCTGGAGACGCTGCGCGTGCTCGGCGCCAAGAAGGTGTTCCTGTACAAGCTGGAGGTGCACCCGAACATCTCCAAGGTGCTGCGCTACTACCAGCGCCAGGGCCTGGTCGAGGTGACGCCGCTGACACTGGCCGGTGAGCAGCCCAACCTGTCACCCCTGCAGCGGCTCTATCTCAGCAAGATGATCACCAACCGGCGCCAGAGTGAGCTGGTGCCCTACAACGACTGCTTCTACCGCAACCTCTACCGCTACGAGTACGTGGCGCTGTTGGACACGGACGAGGTGATCATGCCGACCGCGTTCAACAGCTGGTCGGAGCTGATGGCGTCGGTGGTGCCGCGCGCCGACCACCAGGCGCACCTCCGCGGCAGGGAGATCGCCTCGTACAACGCGCGCAACGTCTACTTCTTCGACGTGCAGGGCCACGAGCACACCTGGCAGCCGGACATCCCGCGCTATATGCACATGCTGCAGCACGTGCAGCGCAGCCGCAATTACACCAAGCCGGGCCAGTACATCAAGTGCTTCCACCGCACGGACCGGGTGGTGGCGCTGCACAACCACTTCCCGCTGGCGTGTCTGGGCGGCTGTCTGTCCTACAGCATCAGCACCAGCGACGCACAGCTGCAGCACTACCGCGCCGACTGCGTGGGCCCGCTGCAGAAGACGTGCGAGGCCGAGTTCCGGCGCGACTCGGTGCGCGACACCTCCATCTGGCGCTACAAGCAGACGCTGACGGCGCGCGCCACGCACACGCTGGTGCAGCTCGGCTTCCTGCCGGCCGAGTCGGAGCGGCTGACCGAGCTGCTGCTCAGCGGACGCTCCGCGGCGTCAGCGGCCATCGTGGCGCGGTAGCGAGCCGGGATCACCGGCAGACGGTGATATCGCTCATCTCTGGTGTTCTCTAGGGAAGGTCCAGTCTGTGATTTATAATGAGGACACGGTGCATGACTCTGTAGGTGTTTGACCGGGCTGTCGAGCCGAAATGCAGCTCGATGTTATTTTATGTCATACATGCGGTTCCGAAGATACCCTGCTTAAATGATAATGGTGATACACGATTAGGTATAATGCGTAAGCGCCCACGATATTCACAGATCAAACTGCTTTGATGAGTTTCTGTAAAGCATCCATCGAGAGTATCGTATGCTGACTGATGACCTAAGAAATGAATACCACAAACGCCGGTTGACCGGCAAGGCGGCAAGCGCTTATGACATGCAAGCAGAGAACTGGATGTGACTGAGCGTAGGTGTATGCCTACAGGTCGTATCTGATATACCATTTGATGTTTTTGCAACTCCATTATGTAGGTATATATAATGGTGTACCTATAATGTGCAGCCGATGTGATATGATGATGGCACATTTGGATGGTGAGGTACACATTTGGTACACGACGTCTCTTTGTATTGCTCGTGTTTTTTTTTTTGTGAAGCCTGAGTTTTGGTTGTTCGCTGCATGTGTTGCTTGGCGACGTTTTTCGGAATTTACCTTATTCAATTACATGACGTGTTTATTTTCTGTTTCGTATAACAGAAGTACCATAGATAACATGAATAACATGATTCATGTTATCTATGCAGATACCTACACAGAGATCAGCATATGAAGATAAAATATCGATGCGACTAAACCATTTAGGTACGATTATTTCAACCCCGCAAACCTGCTTTGGGTGAGGATAGACGATGTTGAGTATTACTATTTTTGTACTGTTTTGTATACAGCTCTACCGGCGTTCTCAATGTGTTGCGATCGGACCTACTTATGCAGTGCGTGCCTCAGTCACTCCAATACACAAAACCTGTAGAAAAATGTTTACAAGTTGATGTTTTCACCGACTACCGGGTACCGAGTAAAACCCACGAGACCTGCGGTCTCGCGGGTTTTAGCGGTAGGTTTTGCACCTATAAAATTTAGTGTAGGTACTTCAGGCTATATCTTCGTCGTCTTAAGCTTTTAAGTGTTGAAGATGCGATCGACTTGTTGGGTAACAAGTCGGCCATGATCGTGTAAAATGGCTTCATCGTAGATCGATTAGTTTCTGAGATATAACCGGAAATGTAAAAGTGCAAAACCTACCGCTTAATCTCGCGAGAGCCGTACCTTTAAGACTTTTATCAGGCTGAGGTCCACCGGGTGGCGGACCATCACAAGATCCGTGACAGGCGTCATTACCTGCCTACAGGACTAAAGGACATAGGTACCTAACATACCTAAGTCGATGTATCTGTCAGCCTATGCATATCCGACTAGCTAGGCAGAAGGGGTGGGAAGTCGGTCCCGGTGCCGGGTGCCTAAACTTTGACGAGCTGCTAATTGCTATTTAGGATTTTTGCGGAAGATTTCGGTCACAAAGACCCGATTTCGATGCATTAGCATTAGTTCAACGTATCCTCACTAGATGGCAGCAGCGCTTAACGCCTGAAGTTATGCTGTACCGCAGGGCTGACTCGGCTAGCTGAGCTCGGCAGCGCTCGAATGGAAGGGATTGAGGTATACGCAGCCACCGAGCGTTCTCTGCATACCTATGATTTCCATGGTAAATGCCTGTATTCATCGCACGTATTCAAATGCGCAGGCCAATGGCCATGGAGGTGAACGAATGTTATATGCATACCTAGGTAGATAGAGTCCGGGTAGGGGACGCGACCCCCCAGCAGGGCGTGGAATTTATTTGGAAATCCACGGACCACGCCGGGATGCAGGTTAATAACTGACAAAACTGTCCCGGGATTAGCGGTTTTGGCACTTTTACGTTGTTCACGTCCCGCCGCAAAGGAAAAAGGTAACTTTTATTTTGGAAAAGCTAGCTTTGATGCTGGTTATACTAGCGTCTTTGATTTGGGGTTAATTCCAATGGTGATTTTTACCCTCACATTCCATCTTCGTATATCACACGTTTTGTAGTTAATTTTAAAATTAACTTAAGTTTAGTATACCTATTATTGGTGCCTTTTACGAAGACATGTAAAAATCATTAAAATTTAGCACAACTTTCTTAACAAAAACTGGCGCAAATAAGACAGTTAATATCATCAGCCTGGTAATGTTCTGAGTCAAGATTTTGTACTCATGCTGCAAGTCTTCCCATATACGGAACTTAATTCTTGGCCATTCCTGGCTTCTCATTGGTGGATCGCATGCCCTACGCGAAAGTCACCAATGAGAAGCAGGGGGACACTAGCAACCTAGAGCAAGCATCGAACAGCACCGTTCTGGGATTTCCCATGCTGATGCGGATGCCGTGTAAAATTTATCATTCAAGAAGCGTATGCTCGATGGGCGCCGGCATTATAAAAAAGCAAAGGATATTATCCATATAACTGGTGAGTTCTTTTGAAGTTTGTCTCTGCTAGATTCAGAGCTCAGAATGTTGTGTTAGTTAATACCTTGTGCTGCAGAAATTGCTTTGTAATGTGCACTGCTCCCAAATTCCTAAATCCTAGGTAGCATATGTTTTCAGAATTTGTATTGCTTTTCGGGGGAACAATACAAATTGAGGACTTGTGATTGAAGTACAGGATAAATGGCTTATTTTTTACTCCTGACCGCTACCATATTTTAGAGCATCCCGCACATAATGTAGGGAACGCATATTCAAGCATAAAGGAAGTATACCTACCAATTTTGACCTGGTGTTTTGAATTTGAATAGCAGTTGTGTAGCATTAGCCGAGAATAGCGCAAATTAGGAGCTGATGCATCCCATTGATTACCCTAGGCAGATATTTTTTCATTTCTTCTCAAATCATTGCCTTGCACAGAAATTTAGGGTGGAATCTAAAAACAGGGCACCTGGGACAATTTGTTCAAGGCTTTTGAAATTATCACGTGATAATTGACCTGTTAGAGGCATTGAAAGGGAGAGAACTTCTCAGTAATCACATGACTAATATGCCCTCCAGTGCCTTGTTTTCAGATTCCACCAAATGTAGTGCCTGATGGAAGAGTTCCAGGAATGCAGCAACCTGTTGAGGCCAGCATGAGCCCATCAACAATCAACATGCAGTTGGTTTTGAACTATGCAATATAATTGGTCAAAGCTTTATTAGCTTCAGCTGCAAACACTGTATTAAGCCTCTACTGCAAAGTGCAAATGGAATAATGCTGTTAATGAAAACAATTTAAAAATTCCTTTTGTATGCATTAAGTTTTTCTTTTCTGATCATTTAAGTATATTTTTTTTAATTTAGTCCGAACCTTTTGATGGGAAGGATTCACAAGGACAGAGCCACCGCTAAGCGAAGCTTGTTGCGATGACCCTGCCCTCTACCCTCCGATCGCGCAATTCCGATTCTATGGCAGAATTTAGAGTCCAAAGTTTTACGTGCGCACAAAGCCGCGCACGGCCGGTCCCCTCGCTGACTTCGCCTGGCTACGGCCTGCCACCAACCGCAACCATACCTGTCAGGAGGCCCATAAATGTCGAGCGCCCGTCGCGCTTCGAACCCGGACTGTCATAACCGGGAACGCGTGCTCTCACCACGCGGAGTCCAACGCTCTAACCAACTGAGGTAAAAAAAATAATTATAAACATAATAAAACGGTAGCAAAAAAATTAATTTGAGGAAAGTCATATATTTCCTTAAAGGAAAGCCATTGACAGCATCTACCTTGCCAGCTGGTCTGGCCTCTTATACGGCCTTGGGTCTGGCCAGTGACTTGCAGGTGGCTGATATTTGCTAAAGCCTAAAACTGAGCATTGTTTTTTCCTAAGCACACACCCTGTCCAGCATTGTGTATTCACTACAGGACTGAGGCAGGGCATCTTTCAGCTGTTACAACAAAGTAGGTATTCAGCTAATTATGCTGTTCTTAGCCCAAGTTTTGAATGCTATTTCAGTGCACAGTACATTGCTATTTTTATGACATAGTTTTTTTTTCTGCCAAACGCATACTGGAAGTTTTGCCCTCCACTTGCACTCAGTAAGGTAGCTACTCTAAGATGCAATTCATGCAATTGAAAAGTGGAAAATTTTAACTGACATTGCATTGCTGAATGTGTTATATCTGTTAACCCTCGCCTGTATGGGGGGTCGAACGGACCCCCCACTCCTCGGTTTTTCGCGAATAACTCGCGTAAAAAGCGCCCGATCGCGACGAAACTTTCTGTACCTTCGCTTTAATCAATTTTACACCTACCCTGAAAATTTCAGGACCCTGATCCAAGTGACCTTTCACCTGTGAGCTACTTTTCGAGACCGTGTTTTGCCGGAATAGCGATTCGACGTATGTCGGCATCGGCTCGCATTAGCCGCGCGTTTGCAGTTTTTTCGTGGTTTCAAGCATTCAAACATGTGAAATGATGTTGGTCCCATGCATAAGGGTGGGTGTCAACTGTCAAGGTCACCTGAAGAGGTCAGGTCATTGACCTTTGATGACCTCGGTTCACTTTTTCGAGCTTTACATGTTTCTAGGCCAGTTTTTGGAGCTGAATTCAAATTTAGCAACCAAATGAACATTTACGAAGTAGTTTTGGTGCCTTCGTAAATCGTAATATGCTACGAAGCTATCAGAGGCGGTTGACAGTGACACCTGCTACAAATACCCTGCAGGACCCCTACTGGTTGACCTGACCTGACTTGACCCGACCTGGCCTAAATGCATGAAGACATCATCTGTGATCAAAACTAGCATGATATTCGTGATCAGCACCCCGAAAAATCTTATAGCGGCCACACTTACGACATTCAAACAGGTCCCGATTTTCTCGGCTTCTAGGTCATGGACCTGATCTGGAAGGTCAGCCAATGACCTAGAACCTTAAAATTGGGTATCGTTGGTTTCCTCTCGTCACGGGCAGCACGCTCGTTTTTCCGCGAAGCTCTAGCTTGATCAGGGGTCAAACGGCGAGGAGGGTCCAACGGACCCCCCCCCCCCTCCTGATACGTTTGAGGCTGGTAAAACAAACGGGCGAGGGTTGATATTGTTGTAAAGGAAGTATTTCATCCATGTTTTTTTCTTAGTTTGTGTTAAAGGCATCAGTAAATTTCCTATAATATATGAAGCATCAGAGCTGGGCATTGCGCAACTTAAGTCCGCAACTCCGCAACTCCGCAACTTGCGGACTACCCTCTTGGTAGCGGAGTTACGGATCGGCTACCGAGCCCAAAAAAGTTGCGGAGTTGCGAGTTGCGGAAGCGAAAAATTCTAAAGCGCAACCGCTACCGGGGCCGCCACCGCTGGTGGGGGCGCCACTGTACTCTTTGCACTCCAGACTGCACACTGCACGTGTTTCCACTTTCCAGGCTAGTTTTTGAAGCTGATTTCGAATTTAATGACCGTTTGAACATTTACGAAGTAGTTTTAGTGCCTTAGTAACATGTTACGAGGCTTTCAGTGGTGGTTGACACTGGATAGGCGGTAGGACGCCTACTGGTTGACCTGACCTGACCTGACCCGACCAGGCCCAAATGCATGAAGACGTCATCTTTGATCAAAACCAACATGAAATTTGTTATCAGCGCCCCCCCCCCCCCCCAAAAGCATAAAAGCTTCACTTTACGAAGTTCTAGCAGGTCCGATTTTCCCGACTTTTGGGCCATTGACCTGGCCTGGAAGGTCAACCAATGACCTATGACCTTAAAATTGGGTATCATCGGCTTCCTCTCGTCACGGGCAACACGCTCGTTTTTTTTCCCGCGAAGCTCTAGCTCGATCAGGGGCCGAACGGCAGGGGGGGGGGGGGGAGGGGATCCAACCGACGTACACGTTAGACGCTGGAAAACACCGCACACAGCGAGGGTTAAGTCAAATTTTATGGTCGCCACTACGGGGCCGGGGGCGGGGGGGGGGTGTTTGGACACCCCTCCGTAAGGTTTTCTGCAAATATATAAAAAAGGCGGCGGCAACGCGGCTGTTTTCGACACTGCTATTAACACATCCTTTCCACGTACATTGTATCAACATGTCAGACCCAGGTCACCTCAGGTCAGGTCACCAGGTGAAGTCAAGGGACCCAATCTCCGAAAAATTTAAACACCCGCCCTAGCAATACAGGGCAATATAGCAATTTGTAGATACACCTATTGACCGATCACTTTGAAACTGTCTGCATGTGACAAGGGTAACAAGATATCGGTACAAAGTGTATTGTCTCATATTTTTTTATATTTGTGACTTAAGGTAAGGTCAACTGTGTGACCTCTCCATTATAAGTCTGGGAGAAAATACGACTCGTCCGGATTTGCGGCAAAATGATCCCAAACAATTAAAACATGCAAAGAGTAGCACTGGCAGGTCATTTACGTCAACTGGTGTCGCAATGACTTGCGCATTGAGCATTATAGGTCACGTGACGTCATCAAAGGTCACCAACAGTCAGGTCACCAACAGAGGTCAACCAAAGGTACTACCTACCTGTCAGACATAACACTGCACTTCAGGACTAAAACTGATAAAACATAGGAACCTTATAGAGGTTGGTAGCGGAGTTGCGGAGTTGCGGAGTTGCGAGTTGCGGTTTTACGATCTGCAAAATAGTTTCGGAGTTGCGATTGCGCTTTGGGTACCTTAGGTTGCGGAAGGTAGCGGTAGCGGTTTCCAAATTTCGGTAGCGATGCCCACCTCTGTGAAGCATAAACAAAGTTCCAAGTTTTCAATGTCCCAAAATTCAGCAACTTTCTGAATGTTTTGGGGTGCAGTACATCAGGCATCTGCACCACACCACGAGGATCCACAACACTGAACACACAACAGAACACATGGATTTCCTTTGGCCAGGTTGCGATAAATTCATACCAGCTGAAGGATCTTGCACCTTCAAGATTCCAATAAGGTGGATGAACACTGTTTTGGTCTCTAGTCAGGATTTATTTCATAAGGATTAAGGATATCTTACAGATTTCAATAGGGTGCTCTGTAACTTTATTGTCAGTGCATTAGGCATATGCCTATTAAGTGCCTATCTTTGGATAAAACATCATAGTTGGGTTTAAACTGAATGCCACTTTAAGGTGGACGTACTTGTCTATTCTCAGGAATGCCTCAGGAAGCAGTTTCAGCTGAGGGCATCCTCAGCTACATAGACAAAAATGGTCCCTTCAATAGTGAGGACTATGCTAACAGCATCCAGGAGGATCATCAGAAAGTTGTAGGCATAATCAAGAGCCTACAGGGCCTTGGTCAGGTGAGGTCTATTTTTATCTATGGGAACACGTGTTCAGCCCTTATTTTCTGCTTTTTATGTGCAAACAACCATGAAAATGTTATTTTTGTTAACTTGTTGCATGCCCTCATTAATTCCTTTTTCTGATTTTATTTGCCTATTTTAGCAATTAATATATCTGGTATTGGTGAAGTGCAATGACGGTGGGGTAGGACAGAGGTTGTCTGTAATTCTCATAGCATCAAACATACTCGTCATTAGTAGCCGTGGATGAGATAGCTGTGCCCTATGCATGGGTGTGTAGGTCAGGGAGTCAGGAGGTCGGCGCTGACCGCCGTGTGCCGTCGCCGCCCGCCGGGCAGCTGAACATTGGCCTGGGTGTGTACTGTGTAGGTCAGGGAGTCAGGAGGTCGGCGCTGACCGCCGTGTGCCCCCGCCGGGCAGCTGAACGTTGGCCTGCGTGTAGGTCAGGGAGTAGAAGGGCAGCACTGACCGCCGTGTGCCCTCGCCGGGCAGGTGGTGAACGTTGAGCAGGTGACCCGTAAGCACTGGGAGCTGACGGACGAGGGACGCGATGTGGCGCGCACCGGCAGCCACGAGGCCAAGGTGTTCAACGCCGTGCCGCCAGAGGGCATCGCCCAGTCGGAGCTCATGGTGAGTGGAACACACTCGGAGCGCAGGCCCAGTGTTGCGGCTTGCTCTGGTGCTGATAGCGGTACTGTTGAGGTTAGATGTGCGTGATTGGTGAAGAAATAATGATCAATTCTCAAACCAGGCATCTTTGTTTTGTGGTAACCTGCTTCTGACCCACGCCCTCGGTAATACGTGAAATCCTACGTTCTGTTGTATTACATTGTATTACACCCGCGATTAGCACCACCTTTCCATCACATTCCATTAGACGCTCGTATCTGACGTAACCTCTCGAATCTGACGTCGCCTCTGACCTCTCCCTCAGTCGAGCGTGCCCAACGCCAAGATCGGCTTCAGCAAGGCGGTGTCGTGCGGCTGGGTGCGCGTGGACAAGGGCCCGGCGGGCGCGCGCGTGTGCCGGCGCGTCCAGTCGGTGACGGACGTGGTGCGGCTGCACCTGGCCGCGCTACAGGACTCGGCTGACGCAGACGTCTCCGAGAAGCTCAAGGCGGAGTACAAGAAGCGCAAACTGCTCCAGGAAGTGTGAGTGACGATGGAGGGGCGTGGGAAGGAGGGGGTGGCTATGAAAGGTGATCTGGTAGCTATACCAGAACTGATTGTGTAATGGTTTGTTTGTCGCGCTGACACTCAGCTGTCACAACAATCTTCAACCATGCGTCTACGTTTATGCGCCAGTAAAGGTTTCGCACCGCGCCGCCGGGATCGTCGGGTCGCTAGCAGTGGATGTTTCTCCAGCTGACTCACCCCTCCCGTCGGGCACACGGCAGCGTCTCCAAGAGCTACACAGTGTCGAAGGGCGCCGACTTCACACTCAACATCGAGAAGCCCGAGACGGACCTCACGCCCGAGATGATCGCCTCCGGATCCTGGCGCTCCAAGACGTTCAAGCCGTACAACTTTTCGGCGCTGGGCGTGCCGCCGGCGCGCGGTCACCTCCACCCGCTGCTCAAAGTGCGCGCCGAGTTCCGACAGATCTTCCTCGAGATGGGCTTCTCCGAGATGCCCACCAACCGCTACGTGGAGAGTTCCTTCTGGAACTTTGACGCCCTCTTCCAGCCGCAGCAGCACCCCGCGCGAGACGCGCACGATACCTTTTTCATATCCGGTCAGTGGCCTGCGATCAGCTCAGTGAAAACTGCAATATATCATTAGTTTTTACGCTTGTCTCTAGATAAATATTTTTTTTTTTTTGTAATTTATCGTTCAATAGTATGTGTGCCATGTCACCCGCGCCGAACTTGTTACACATTTATATTTTGACCTGCCTGCTATTTGATGGCTAGCTGACTGTCTCCATTGGTGCCCCGTCCTGTGTGCCCAGACCCTGCGACCAGTGTCAGCCTGCCGGCCGACTACCTGCCCAAGGTGAAGCGGGTCCACAGCCAAGGAGGGTTCGGCTCGCAGGGCTACGGCTACGACTGGAAGCTGGAGGAGGCGCAGAAGAACCTGCTGCGCACGCACACAACGGCCGTCAGTGCGCGCATGCTCCGTCAGCTGGCGCAGGAGAAGGTGCGCGGGAGCGGCCGAGGGAGGGGAGGAGAGTGGGATGAAGGCGGGACATGGGTGCTCTGTTACAAATAAGTGGTCGGGGAAGGAAAACGGTATCGAACACTTCAGTGTCTTTCCATTTATTTAGTGCTTCCTAGCTAATTAGCTCTTTTCTAAATGATGTAAGCTTCTGGTTTGCCTTTCACGCAGATTTGATAGACAAAAACTAATTATGAATAAGGGTAGCCTACATATAATTGGGCGTCAGTTCCTTGACTCGTAAGTTTGTGGTAAAAAGTAAAACAGCCGCTTGTTTGTTTTGGCAGGAGTTCCGGCCGGTGAAGTATTTCAGCATTGACCGCGTGTTCCGTAACGAGACGCTGGACGCCACGCACCTGGCTGAGTTCCACCAGGTGGAGGGCCTGGTGGCCGACCGCGGCCTCACGCTCGGACACCTCATGGGTGAGCGGCGGGTCGTGTGGGTCAGTCAGGATAGAAGGCATCTCAGAGGTCTCTCGGTATCTTTGCAAAAACAGTATCGTTTTCAAGTATTAGAACACCACTTAAGCGGGAGACTGCTGCCATGCTAGGATTCTTTCAATCATGCCTGCTTTGGAAATCCTGGTCTAATTTTTTTCATCTGGTAAACCAGCCATATATTCACAAATAACTCGACAACTATATTCAATGGGATCAACGTGATGACGTCACCCTTGCTCCATATGCTGGCGCACGAGTATTTGAACGTTGTATGTCGTACATATATACCGAATTTCACCCTCGAGCGTCTAGCTCGAATATTCTGTCTGCTGCGTCCGCTAGTCGCTGATCCCCTCCTCTCTCCAACTGGCAGGCGTCATCAACGAGTTCTTCAAGAAGCTGGGCATCGAGCAGATCCGCTTCAAGCCGGCGTACAACCCGTACACGGAGCCGTCCATGGAGATATTCAGTTGGCACGCCGGCCTCGGCAAGTGGGTCGAGATCGGCAACTCGGGTGTGTTCCGGCCCGAGATGTTGCTGCCCATGGGTCTGCCCGAAGACGTCAACGTCATCGCCTGGGGACTCTCCCTGGAGAGGTAGGTCGCGGCCCTGTGTTCCGCGGGGGAGGGGGGTATTGCTGCGCGTGTGACCGTGGCGCCAGTTATGGCTGGTGGTGGTGCTATTTCACCCGCTGTGGTAGGAAGTGCCACAACAATTCAGGTAGTCTGGGCCAGGCTGATATTTTCGTGATGACTTATTCCATCATATAGCTGTGTTGAACCTAGTGTTATTGGTCCCGAGTTCGTACGGTGACGGTGATCCACGCCTGCATTTCAGGCCGACGATGATCAAGTACAAGTTGGACAACATCCGTGACCTGTGCGGACATCGGGTGGACCTCCAGATGGTCGCCAGCAACCCCATCTGTCGGCTGGACAAGTAATCAGTAATGACCGGGCGGCGCGAGCACGGCGGCCGCAAACAGTGCTGGCATGCTGATGCGACTGTTTAGCCCTTTTCATAGTGTCCTTCATGATAGCGATAGCTTCGTCGCCGGACCGTCATCGCCTTGAATTTTCCTCTTAGCTCACAGGAAGATGATAATCGGCCCTCAGACGGACTAGGCTGCATCAGTTACCAGCAGCTATTGAGAACTAGGTACTTCGGACCTTTGTTTATTGAGCGTGATCGATGCAATTGTCACATAGACGATCTGTCAGTTTACGATTCGTGTGTTGGTTCTAATTTGCACCACATGACACTCCAACCATGACACTGACCATATGGCATGCCTTGACCAGATGACACTGAATGATTTTCCTGTAGTATGAGTTATTAAGAACTTAAATAACCTCACCCAGGAATTGGAATTCGCTTTCACTCATCCCGTGCTGTTTTTAACCGGGCTGAATGTTTCCTACAGATCACGTCACACCTATGCATCACCATCATGTCATACTACCTTTTGGTTTGATAATACGCGCTAGTTAGCTTGAGGAAACATAAACAACCATGACGATCTGAACTCATAAACATTTTAAAATTGTGTCCGCTCTGTGTCCTCATAGCAACATTATTTGTTGTCCCAAAATGATTGCTTCCGCTGAAATTGTCAGGAATAATATTTTGTTAGTAATATCCAGTTATATGCATTTTTGTTTTTCAACGTAACCAGTGGCGTTTGTTGAGGCTTCAGGGCCCAAGCCACGTTTCCCTTCGACCCCCAGTCCGCCTTAATCCCGTCAGAAACTCACTACTCTGTGGCGTTATCATCTGACCGTCTCCTCCCGTCTCCTCAGGCAGAGCGGCGCGGCGCGGCCCGACCCGCGGCTGGCCCGCCTGGAGCGGCGCCAGCAGGCCGTCCTGGACGAGCTGGCCGGCCTGGGACTGATGCTGGACGAGTGTCGCCAGCGGCGCGGCCTGGCGCCCAGCTCGGCCGCGCCGGCCGCCGCCGCCGGGCCGCCCCCCGAGCGGCTGCGCGTGGCAGTGTACGCCGCGCCGGACCGGCCACCGCTCTCGGTCGGCCTGCTGTGCCGCCTGCTGGCGACGCACGCGCCCGTCTGGTGCCGCGCGCACCTGCACTCCAGCTGCGCGGCGCCCCCGGCGGCGGCGGCCGCGGCGCGCTTGCTGCCGCCGCCCAACGGCGTCTCGCCGGCGGCGGCGGCGCTCCACCTGACGCTCATCTGGCGGCCGGGGCCGCTGCGCACGGTGGTCAGCCCGCTGGCGGCGCCTCCGCTCCAGGGCGAGGCGGTGGCGGCGCGGCTGCTGGCGCGCCTGCTGCAGCCCTGGCGGCCGCGCCTGTACGCCGAGAGCCCGGCTGTGGACGCGTGGCTGGACCAGGCCGACGAGCTGGCGGCGGCCGGCGCCGACCGCAAGGCGCGCGCCGCGCTGGTGTCGGCGGCGGCCGCCGCGCTGTCCGGCCGCCGCTGGCTGCTCGGCGCCGAGGCGACGCTGGCCGACGTGGTGGTGTGGTCGGTGCTGACGCAGCTCGACGCCGTCAGCCCGCCGCTCCGGAGGTGGGCCGACGCCGTGGCGGCACTCACATGACAGCGGAGAGCCTGTGGGAGTCCCGCGCGTCTTCACTAGGGCGACGTGAAGGGAGGCGCTTAGCGGAGGAATGGGGAGCCACCGGTGAGCAGGGATCGACTGTGAGGGTTGCCGAGGCTGCGCGCCGCTATGATAATATTCTGAATAATATTGACGCTGTTACGGAGTCGGGTTGCGGGACGTGGGGCGGGTTCGTCAGAACATGGGTTCGTCAGTGTCCTGTGAAAATCATCACGGCCCCACACATGACCAAATACATAGACGTGCACAAGGAACGAGATACTTGTGGCTTTTGGTGCCGTCTACGTTGAAGTCAATGGTAAATGCAATCCAAGCGCCTAACTGCGACGTCATTGCCGAGATGATAACCCGTTTCGCCACTTCATCTAATCAAAATCGATCGTCACTAGCCAATTATCGCGTTTACATAGGTATATTGCAAAACTGACCAATAAGGCACACCCCCGACCATCTGCCCAAGGATGAGCATTCATAACCCAACGGTCAAAAGCCGATTAGACAGGTACCGTGGCGGACAGAGTACCGCTCTGCGCACGTGCATGGCAGACGGCGCTGGAATTAAATCCCCTCGGGAACTAAGTTTGCTGGGTAATGCCCTCCGGCTGGCAGGACATGTACATTGTACAGTGCAATAACGACCGAGATCGAACAGATGACCAGATGGAAGGACGCCCGAAAGTGAGGATGACGTTTGTACACCTCAAGTAAAAATTGGAATAGTTAGATTGCTTAGAATCATATCAAAACGAATATGATACCAGACGCCTTCGGTTCCCTCTCATCACACCGCAAACCAGACGTAACCCGCACTGTATGTCACGAAGCCGTATCATCGGTAGCGCAGCCGTTTGTCGCCTCCCCGTCAGCGTGTCCGGCGCACAGTTCCGCCCCCAGGCCCGAGAACACCTGGAACCGGTGGTTGAGCCCGTCGGCCACGTGCAGTTTGCAGGCGGAGCCGAGCGCGCCGCCGGCCCGCGGCACCGCGTAGAACACCCGGCCGATGCGCGAGTGGAGCAGCGCCATGGCGCACATGATGCACGGCTCGCGCGTCACGAATGCGTCGTACCCGGTGCAGAGGTAGGGCAGCGCGCCCGCCGGCGGCCTCTGCACGCTCGGACCGTCCGAGCCTCCCTCCCGGCGTTCTGGAGGTGGTGCCTCTGGGTCTGGAGGCTGGCTCTGAGCTCCGCTGGAGGGTGCAGCTGGTGTCGGGGACGCGGACTCGGTTGGAGCTGAGCCTGTCTCCGGTCGTTCCTGCGCCGCCGCTGCGCGGGTCCACACGCCCCCGCCCTGCGCCGCCGCCACCGCGTCCACGGCGCGCATCACGGCGTGCTGCAGCCGGTGGGAGGCGCGCGCGTCACCGGCCACCGCCACCAGCCGGTCTGTGGCCGGGTCGACCACGGCGCAGCCCACCCGCGGCCCGGCGCTGCCCGCCGCCGCCGCCGCCGCGGTGGCCATCCAGCGGAGGAGGCGGCGCCGCTCGCCGGGACCGGCCGCCGGCGGCGCCAGAGACGCCTCGACGCGCAGGTCGCGGTGGAACACTGTGGGCCACAGGGCGGCCGCCTGGTCGTACTGGCGCCGCGTGATGGGCCGGCCGGCGGCCACCGCGGCGCAGTACAGCTGCGGGCCCAGGCCGGTCAGCGGCGCCGTGACGCCGCGCTCGGCCAGCGCCGCCTGCAGGTCGGACAGGGGCCGGCCCAGCGGCCGCGGCGCGCCGTCACACGCCGGCGGCGCGGCCCCCACCGTCGGAAACACGTTCTCCAGCAGGTCGATGAGGAGAAGCAGCGCCGGCGCGCCGTCCAGCCGGGCCGTGCGGACTCGTTTGAGGTGCGCCAGCGCCGGCACCGGCAGCTCGGCGGCCAGCCGAGCCACCAGCGCGGCCGTCTGCCGGCGGTCACAGACGTGTGCGACCAGGGCCGTCTGCACGGGTAAGGCACGCACCACACTGTCTGACAGCACTGGCGTCAGATGAAATGGCATGTCATCAGCCACAGTGACAGAATGCACCTCAGGTGCTGACTTAGATTCAGCAGGCATCACAGCATCAGTTCTCTGCCTTTTTGGTGGTGGCAGTAGCTCCATGCTTTATTACTTCAGTGTGCTGGATAGCTGACTGCAGGTAACATCATCAGATCAGAAATATGCCATATACCTGGAAGCAAGCAAGCCCCTATTAACAAGATTTATTAGGTTTTATTACAATTGCTGAACAAGTCAATTGTGATTTCGGATGTGAACTGGTTCAATTAAATGGTATTTGCCCGCAAACATTGCAAATATATACCAACTACTAATAAGTGTTTACGGATAAGACACAACCTTGAATTAAAGGTATTTAATTTAATAAAGCTAAAATTAATCATAATGACAGTTGAATTGAAAGCATAGTACAAAGATATGAAACTTCATGCCTGCTGAAATGTCACTTGGCAAGACATAATTTTATCAATCACCAACATCAGTTGGGCAAACTAGACCTTTGGAATCAAAATATGGAGGCATCAAAAGATTGATTCCTTTTGGGCATAAATGCAGACCATTTCTAACTTACCAATCACATAAAAATAAGAGAGTGTTTCAAGAAGGAGCATGCCTGATCTTGAACAGAAATGCTTGAACTATCTCCTAAGCAAAATAATATTGCTCCTATCATAACAATTTGAATTCTATAGGTAGTGAAAGGCAATCAAGGAATTGATTCACTTTTAACAGATAATCATAATATTGATTCCCCATCAGCTGGCTAATCATTATTTTGATTCACAGGTAATGTTAACAGATAGGCAACAATGACTTGCAAGAATACAGCATTTATCTTGCTATTATTCTCATTTAGTGGTATCCTCAGCACCACAACTGATACCTATAGCATTGTTGTACTTTACCTTCACTACATTTGATAACAATTCACAATTTTTAAATGTCAAGGATACAAAAACTGAAGCAACAGGTAAAAACCATATAAATAATATAAAAGCACTACAACAATGATAATTAGGGGTTTAAAAATTTCATTTTGCCATTTTACACAAATACTGATTGGTTAGTATGTGATTCATGATACAAAAATAACATACAGTGGGATTTCCTCAAAACAGCTTTTACGTGATGGACAGTGGCTCTGTCTTTTTCCCATTCACAAGGCCAAAGGGACAATTTCTTAGCTTTGAGGTAACACTTTTTGCAAACCTACCACATTTTTCTACCTTTTAAAAGAAAAATCTCACCGTCATGGGCCTTTTTTCAACCGTAACGATTCATTTGAAGTCAAAAGTGTACCCAAATGAATCAAAAAATTGATTCCATGCCCATATTTGGTCATGGCTCCTCCCACCAGAATCAAATTATTGATGCCTCCATATTTTGATTCCAAAAGTCTAGTTTGCCCAACTGACATATCATTTTCACCCATAGTCTGAGTCGTATTAAAAACAAAAGCAAGCTAGTCAATAGCCATTAGCCTCTCTAAAATTCCGTGCAGGTAAACAGGCACGGTACCTACCTCAAGCTGCAAAATTCACCATCCATGTCAATTAGGTACCTACCTACCAAGCCTAAAAAAACTAACCTATCTCTTCATTATTCGGATCAAATGCTAAAAAAAACATAGAAGGTACAAAAGCGAGTGTAACATGCTAGCAAAACATGAAAATTGTTCAATCAGTTTCTATCCTAAGCCAAAGCAAATAAAAACACAAAAATCACACATTTGTCTTTCGGCAGCCAAAATCTACCGTATTTTGTCTCACAAGCGCAGGGTTTGTCAAATCTGGTAAGCAGAGTCTACTACATGTCTACATCTATTTTTTTCAATCGTTCTCCCTTTCCGATCAATGAGCATAATATATGATGAATAAATGGTTTTACCCGAAAATATAACTAAGGTACGAAAGTTAGCTTCCAAAACCATGCTCAATGCTTTAAATGCCTTTTGTATACTAGAAAAGAGCTAGTTCAAAACTAGTCGTTATACTAGAAAAACAAAAAATACCAATTTTTCCTCACATATAAGGTTTCAAACAGCGTACTTTAAAAAATTTATTTTCTTATATTTTTCCACCAAAAATAGGAAATGGCTCTGATGTTTCTTTTTCGTAGGAATTCGTCACATAAAGGATTTTTTAAGCAATTATACCGCTTATTGCCTGGCAGCCACGTTTGGAGGGACGCCTTGCAATGGGTGCGGTTATTTCTTCTCATCTTAGTTTGCTATTTTGGCGCGATTTTGACAATTTCTGGCGCATTCCACTTATTTACTTTAGCGGCCATAGGGCAATGGTTCACTTACGGGAGATGAGATGAATTCAGTTGGTGACATACCAGGGAAATAAGCTAAAATTAGAGTGCTCTATTTATTGCTCCTGCCCCATGTTGAAGAGATACCCCTAAAAGCGTGATCTTTTATCGGCCCTTACGCAGCAAGGCAGTACTTCTCAGGCCGGTGGATGGTATCAATAGAAAGAGAATGCGTCAAAGATTAACATGAATTAATTAAAATAACATTAAAATGTTAATTAAGCGTGGAAATTAGTCCCAAACTTAAGCTAATTATTGCTCCTACCTCGGCGACGGCGCTCCCCGCAGTCAGCGGAGAAGCTAAAATAAAAGCCACCATCCTCCTCCGTACGTCAATTTTAGAGCGGCCGAGTGGGCCGATGCGGGGCCACCAAACTGAGGTGAGACGTGGCTAGCAATTGCGAACTGCCATAGAAATCAATATCTTAAGACGTACAATATGGGATGATTACTCTGAAGCAGGAGTGAAAGCATGAGTAGCTAGCAAGAAACGAAATGCATAGATTGGTTGAATTATGTACAATAGGCACAGCTCAGATGAAGCCATTTCTTTGATGTTGACATTTGACATAACCCTTCCTCTCCTCACCTACGACCTAAGTACGTTGGCAGTTACCGGCATAGTTTTTTTTTAGCACGAGTGTAATTCGCCATCGGACCGCAATGCATGTTGCTAGGCTGCTGCAATTACAACGAACTTACGAATACTGCCTTCATTTGTAGACGTTTGTTTTTTAGGCGGTCTTTGACGTACAAGGGGGCATACCTGTCGACAACTTGAGTTTCTCCGAATTTCAAAAACTCCCAGAATTCCAATTCCTTATGCACTGTTGTAGGTACAGCTATGTTCACAAGTTTTCGTTTCCTCCTGCTCTAAAAAGGATGATACCTATTTGTCGATTTCGTGCGTCGCTGATAGAAGGGTGCGTTTAATAATTAGGCCCAACGCTTTCTGCATCCGCGAGTACCTTGAAAAGGGAACAGCAGTTTCCATTTATTACACTATGGGACAAGTGACAAAATGACCACCGCAACACGCATGAAACGGAGCTCATATTCCTAAAAATGTCTACAATCACTTATTTTCTGACACTGTTAGCAAATACCATCTCAAGTTAGGTGGTTGACAGACAGTCAATGGAGATCTGGGGAGACTGAGTGATGCCAATTCACCACTTAACTGATAATGAGGGCCGAGGGAAGAGAAACATGCAACATGCACAACTGACAACTTGACAAGTGACAAAACACTACCACTATTGCGCAGTGCACAACAAATTACAGCAGCCAGCCCAAAAATGCTTTTGGTGGCTAATTGCAAAACAAGTCACTAATAAATGTCTTAGTTGCAGCTGAACACTGCACAATGATCACACTGTTCACACATTGAGTGAGATGCCACAGGTGGTTTGAATCACACTTTGGTACAACTGCAAATCTGAAGTGTTGTCATGAGGTTCATGCCTCCATGATCACAGCACTTTGGTTGTGGTTGGCATAACACTTGCAGTCTGCAGAGTTCCACATGAACTGCAGAGTGCAGACACCTCATATGGTGGTCTTCATGTTGCTCAACTTCTTCAGGAGGCAAATGTCGACCACCCAGCGGAAGCATGGTCCTGCAGAAAAGAAAGGTAATGCATAAGGTACAAACATTATCTGCTGAAACAGCCCCTTCTGTTTGCTGTTATTAAACTTTTAACATAACATAACAACATGTATTCCATGTATATTACATTTGTTGAAGTAAAATACTGCCCGCTATTTCAAAACCAGAAAATGAAATTATATTGTGGCATAATTCACATGCTCAGCTATCAGTATAATTAATTTAAAATTTGGCATATTCTATATAACACATTCATAAAGTGTTCTACTTCACGTCACAAGGACTCACAATCTTTCTGTTGGGTGTTTGATTGACGCATTAACTAGGTTTGTCTTAGGTTTTATTATTGCAAAAAATTCATATTGCATTATTGTATCAAAATACTGCCAGCAATAACAAAACAAGAACATGAAATGTCAATGAGCAAGCCGCCTTTCCTAAAATGGATTACTTTGAAAAGAATTTTAGTTTCTTTTAAGGAAAAGGAGAAATGATTATCAGGTTATTATCAAAAACCACTCAACCAGCAAGTGGCTGGGTGGTTTCACAGCAAACATCAAGCCAAAACATATGCTTACATATATCTAACAATTGAGTCATTTGACTACACAAGGATATGTGAGCAAAATAAGAATCCAATCATCCAATGTTGACTTCCTTGCAAAGTTTATGCCTTATTTTATGAAAATGTGTCACTAGAATATGATACTTATCATCGAATATTATTTAATTTAAGATTTATTTCGATCTGAACGCACATGGGGTCCCGCGCCATTTTCGTCGACGATAAATATGATCGTGTTTCATGAAGAGATAAGGGGTTTCAATGGTCTTTCAAAGCAGTAATTTGATGCAAAAATTTGTAGGAAATAATATAAAGCTGGTTCAAATGGCCATCAACCATTTAAAACACCGAAAATACTCACAACTCCGTCCCGACGACCACGCAGCACCGCGCACGCCACACTACTGGCACAATGCCAAAACTGCCGTCACAGCAGAAATGTTTTTTTTTCTCGATTGCAATTGTGGAATTATTTATTAAACAGAAGATTATCTTTCCGAAAAACCGACTGATTTCATACACAGATGCATGGAAAATAAAAAAATCCCGGTAAGTTTATTTGTATCGTTTTGTCGATTTTGACATGCTCCTAGTTTGCAGCCATATTTCGATATGTTCTACAGGGAGTTCAGAATTATTTCAGGACCAATCTTTTCCTCATTCATTTTCCCGTCGATCATGAAATTTTTAGAGCGGAACAATTAGTTTCCAGGAGGTCCGAGCGGTTTTCGTGAGAAGGGTGCAAAAATCGGCGTCATTTTTAGAGCCTCGACACCAGCTCAACACAGGACCCTATGGGAGACGGTGAAGTAGCGGGAGCAATAAATAGAGCGCTCTAATTTTAGCTTATTTCCCTGGTGTGTCACCGACTGAATTGCAGCGGCAATACTTGGAATATAGAGAAGAAGTGAAGCAATTATGATACCTATTATTTTTTACAATGACAGAAGGAACGTGGAAGAAAAAACATTTTGTGCAGCATGTGAAAACAAGGAAATAGAATGAAAGAAGGGCTGCTACATTTCATGCTCCAGCTCCCGAAACCAGCCACCTCATCATCATGGGATGGTAATGATAGTTTAAGTTTATGTTAAAAAAGAATAGGAGGAGCTGCTGCAAAGAAAAAGGTCTTTGTGATGCCTCAAAACCGTTAAGCCAAGTCAGGCATGCTCTTACAGACTGAACGTTCAAGTTACGAGACCCCATCATACCGCTCCAGTGGGTGGTGCTTGAGCTTGTCAAATACCTAAATGTTTTGCTCAGAAATTGTTTGCTTTATTGGTTTCTTGAGTTTCACCAGATAAAGATACAAGGTTGGCTGATTTGGTGTTATTTCATGCTGTCAAAGCTGAGATGTTGCCTTGAGTTTCAAATCAAGCAAAGATGGATTGAAGCTGTTTTCTAAAAAAAAAAACCTGCTTTTTAGTAACTTTCACCTCATAATTTGTATTTATTCAATCTCAGAATGGGAGCAAGGCTGAATCACAATTATCTTTTGGGAAATGCTCTGCAAAACTGCATTGTTTTTATTTCTGTGGCATAATTTTGTACCTAATTCAAAGACTTGCTCTGGTGTAGTTTGTAAGATTGTTTGAACTACTTTCTGACCTGTTTGGTGCCAATAAATCCTGCAACCTATTTGGCTTATTTACCCATCTCTCTTGCCATTCCTACATATTTTATGTCAGTCTAATGTCTATTGCATAAAAATTGTGTAGTTAACATACTTCATGATATACAAATGAATGGTACAGTCCACAGCAGAAGTAATGTGGGGTTTCAGTCATGGGTATGCTCTGCTTCTGAAGCTTAGGAACGATTAGCCAGACTACAATGAAACTTTGAATGTAGCTTATATGTATCGTCACCCTTGCAGCTGCAACTTAAGCTATTGACATATTCTTTTCGATCACTCCGCATTAAACAATCGCCAGTCAAAACCAACCGTTGAGATTGGTAAACCCTACATTACTTTAGCGTTGGGCTGTACCTATAGAAGCTCGATTTTGGTAAATGAGAACCAATGAACCTATATTTTTTTTACAATGGCATCAAGTCCTCTTGTCATGGCCATGGATATCACAGAATATTTTGCTGAACTGCACAAGAGAATCCTGTGCAAGGAAATGTTTTGCATGATATAGCTTAACAGCATAAATTTTATTTTCCCAGTTGCATTGGAGCTCTGCTGGAGTTTGCTGATGACAGGATGCTGAAGGGCTGAAGCTGGTAGCTCTGGCAGGAGTCCAAGTGTCCACCAGCTCAAGATCCGACGCCGCCGCGTCGCCGCCGTGCGGCACTCCGCGGAGACGGGGACGGCGGTCATGATTGAAGACACCGCATTTCCCGCCTGGACTGTCTGGTCGGAGACTGGTAATCCCTCCGGTGAGCCGCACACCGTGGAGCTACTGCACCGCGCGTGTCCACCCGCAGCGCAGTGCCAGCAACGGTGCCGTGAGTGCGACATCTGCGTGCATATGACGCAGTGCAACTGTCACGACTCGCGGCTCAGTGTTAACTGTCAGCGTGACAGTGCGGCTCGCGCTCGTTTTAGCGAGGTGCTCTGTTGTATATAACCACCTTGATGGAGACCTATGTGCTGCTACTTGAGTTTCAATGTACAGTTTTATGCATCAAACTAGCGTAAGTAAATGGCTGTCAGAGCCCAGAGGTCGATTTGAAGCGCAATTAGTACTCCTAACCCAGCTGGGCTGAGCGAGTCATGTGACTAGTCCCGATGAACGTACTGTTTCGATGTCGTCAGTCGTAGACTTTTGTAAACCATTCGTTTCGGAGCTCTGTGTTGTGTTGTTCGGGACCGCAGTTGTTTGAGCAGTTTGCTTTATGCGTCGTACGCTGACAGAACGCTGGTCGTACACAAGTCATGTGTTTCCTTTCGCCCCTAATGGGTTACTGCGGTACCTATGCAGTTGGAATGTGTCTCGAGACACTAACTGGTCGCACTTGGTTGTGAAAATGACACTAGCTGGTCGGATTTGGTTTCAAGCTGCGCTTGGAAATCGTGCAATTTTATTTGCATTTTGCAATGCAATTTTATTGCCGTTACCGTATTGGTAGATAGTGTCAGAAGTTGGCCATTTGATGCGTTGTCACTTGTCAGACGCTGTTGCCTTAGTACTGACGAATTGACGGGCCGCGTTTGTGTTCCTGTTAAGAAACGGATCTCAATATAAGGTGATTCAGAGGTAGGAACCTGAATGCATTCGTTCAGATTTTTCATTTTATAGGGATGCACTGCTTCATGAGCAAGAACGAGCATGGCTCTGGTTGAGCGAAGCGCAATCGATATTTGTTATCGTGTTTGTAGACTGTGGCCACATTTACATCACTATTCAACTCCACGCACCAGCATTATTTAAATTGCTTGAACCTATAAATTTCGGGGTCGTCAACCTACGGTCCGTGGCCGTTGCGTTTGGCCAATATCTAGATTTTATACATATTAACTGGTTCATATAATCACAGCATGATGCCCCGGCCAATTTTTATTTGATTCACTGATAATGAATGTATCCCAGTACCGCACAAACTGAGACTGAAACTGGACAACTCGCTTTTCGAGGTTCAAGTTCATTATCTTCAGATGTTATGGTATGATAAGCATTTAATGTTCGAAGAAAATGGTCAGCGTTAGCAGTGCTAAGCGGGTATTATGAGCTTTCAGTTATTTCAATATCATTTCAGGCTATTATTCTTGTGGTATCTCCTGTCAATTTCACGCGGAACATATAGTATTATACAATCGCGGTAACTACATATTTTCTGCCGGTTACTGTTATTATCATTGATTCGTGATATTTCGCTATGAGCGTGGCTCGATTCACATTGTTATTATATTGGCATTCATAATGCATTCCAATTCCATCAAAATGTCAATATGCGAAAAAAAAGTTCTAAAAATTGCAGCAGTTTTGGGAATCAAAAATAGCTGTAAAATAGGCCTGTATAACTTCAACAACAGTGCGCCGAGAAACGTCTAAAAACGCGTAAACCAAAACTAAGATGTAAAAAAATAACTGCACCCCTTGCAATTTCCCGGCGTCCTTTCCTTTGCGGCTTTGGCGTGAGGGGTTTAGTGCTCCAGTGCCTAATTTTTTTGGTAATTTACCTTGAATACAACGAAAGGGCAGCCCCGGATCGCTCTGTTGTATTAAACGAATTAAAGGTCAAGCAAGGTAAGCAGAGGAAAATTAATGCAATGCTTGATATAGCGTGTTCAGGGTTCACTTTGTATTGATTTTTAGGTGGCGCAGTTGACTTTAGAGAATGAGGCAACAGCCAAAAATAGGTACCTATGTGAGCCATAGAAAGAAATGATTTATTCTTATACACTCAACATAGTGAAAAGGTAAAATTTTTGTCTTGAATCCTATGACAATGAAGCACCAGTCCAGACTTTGGGTGGAATCTGAAAACCTGGGGTGATTTTATCAAGGATCTTGAAATTCACTTGACAGTTGACCTGATCACATAAAAAATAGTCGATTAAAAGCTTTAAGATTGGGAGAATATCCCAATAATCACGTGACTAAAATGCCCTCCGGCGCCCTGTTTTCAGGTTCCACCAGAATTTGTATCAGTTTGTAACCATAAACTAGGTAGTTACTTATTATGTTTATAGTGGATTTTGCTGGCCTGCATTTTGTAAGGGATCAGTGCAGCAGCAGTTTTCACAAGCAGATATACTGAGGATATTTGTAAAATAGAAAAATGTGGCATACCCATGCAAGGAGCTATGCCATTTTAAAAATATTCATTCATACTTGTTAACTGGTGTTGAGTCATCACTACAGCAGAAATCAAGCTGTCTCCAATGATTAACAAAACCTTTTAAAATATATTCCTGTTTTCAGATGCCTGAAGATGCAGCAGCTGATGGCAATGATGTTGTGGTAGAGAAGAAGAAGAGGGGAAGGCCACCCAAGGATAAGGTATTTTTAATCCAATGTTTACCACATCTTTCATTACCTATTTCATAAGTTGATTGGGAAGATATTAGATATGTAATTCCATTAGTTTGCATGATTTTATCATTCATACACTTGTCTTATGCTTCCTCATAACCATGGATGTTTGGTTTCTCAACAGGCTGCCAAACCTGCTGAGAAACGCAAGCCGGCTGAGTCTGAGGAGGATGCTGGTGGGGAGAGTGGAGGCGAGGAGCCAGCACCGCCCAAGAAGAGGGGCCGTGGAAGGCCTCCCAAGGCTGGAGGAGCTGCCAAGAAGGCTAAGGTATGATAGAGATAGGGCTGTGTCCAGTGTCCACTCGTTTTCCAATTCACATCCGTTTCTATCAAAACGAGTGTTTTCAGGTTTGTCACCCCGACCAGATTAATTTAAGCCAGTATAAAGTCCTGCTTTGCTAAGATGACCTTTCCCCCGTGCCGCAGGTCCCGGGTCGCGGTCGCGGCCGCCCGCCGAAGAAGGCCAAGGCCCCGAAGAAGGCCGAGTCGGGTGATGACGAGTCCGAGTGATGAGACGAGTGAACCCAGGAGTGGGGCTGACGAGTCCGGGCGGCCCGGCCGCGCGCGGGGCCAGTGAGCCGGCCGCTCCAATGTCGCTGCGCTCTCCCGCCACCGGACCGAGCGGGCCGCAATTTCACTGACCGGGCGGACTGAGTTTCAAATGCTGTGTCGGCGACTTCCGATGGACATGAGGTGTCGCGTCGCGTGCCGGCGCTCGCGTTCTGCCCTCGATCACCGAGCGTCTTACTCGGTGAGCTTGTCTCTCATCCTGTGTACCACGAGCTTCGTTTGCGGGAGAGCGCCTGAATGTGTCTGTCGGTGTTCGTAGCTGTGTTGTGGACGTGTAATTTACTGTTCACCAAAGGAGTTGCTTTTACCTGTGCTCATCTATCGCTTATGGAAACTTTTTTTATTGTTTTGCGCTCGTTCGGCAGAATCCAAGTTCAGCTGCGGGTGATTGCGCAGAGACTGGCGTAGATAGTAGGCAGATGTTTGTAGGGCGTGTTTCATATTTCATATGTGCTTCGACATAAGCGGCCCCACGACGAGACATTACAACAAGCATCGGTCCCATCCTGAGGGCCCACATTCGATGTTCAATAAACGCTCATCCCTTCACAGATCTCTAACGTTGCGGACAGCGGCCATTTTCGTGCGCTCTACCCTACGGTGAACTGAACTTGCATGGTAAAGGCTCCCGCGAGCATGGTGAACAGAGTGGAAGCAGCATAAAAATTACATGCAAATCATTTCAGGTATCATTAAAGGCACACTACGCCTAAATGCTTCAATACTTTTCCGACTTAATGCAAACTTACTTCAGGCTGGCAAAGCCCAATATGAACTGAGGCCGGTTTTACCAACAGACTATTCGGAGGATCCTGGTATTTGTGTTCCTTAGTCTTACAATAGAAATTCAAATCACCAACGCGAATAAATAACCGCTGATGTGAAAACATGTCAGGCTGCCTATCTTCAAGTATGCAAAGCATTTTTTATTTTGCCTTGGCTGGCGATAAGGGGGGGGGGCTCTAGACAACAAATACCCGCATCCAGCGAAGTTTCTGTCGGGAAAGCTGGCTTCAGGTCACTCAGGTCACGCTCCCGGCCTCATGGGAATCCTAGTTTTGGGTATTGTTGGCATGTTTAAGTCTGGCTACTCACGAACCACACATTTTAGACAAAACCCAATGGTCGATTCTTACCAGACTACCTGAAATTACGCCTAGATATCCTTAGCGTCATCATCGGGGTTGGCGTTCGCCGCAACGTCTGAAATCCAGACTCCATGTAGATACAAAGTTTGTTCGTTTATCCCAGGAGTAACAGAATAATTACATAAACTTCAACTGACAGCCTAAAAAATAATTGTGTGCAAAGTGTGGGAAAGTGTGGTACAAGGTGCGTTTGCGACCCTGTCCGAGTGTTTCCACAATGGCGCAGCAGCCGACGCGCTCTGCGCCGCTGAACGCTACCTTCAGACCAATCTTTACCCTTGAAATGGATGTGAAAATGGTCCAATTCGCGGTTCAACCTGGGGTACCTAAAGATTGTATTCTCCTTTTTCATAATTTAAAGCTAGAGCTGTACAAAATCATTGCAGCCCGGGAATCCGGGGAAACGGGACACAAAAGCCCCTAAGTAGGTACGTGCGTGCGTTTTTACGACTTGCTGTAAAACAGTGGCGAATGAGTGGATTTTTCACGAGACCTCACACGAAAATATCGACTTACTGGATCCTTACCATGCGACTGAGAGAATCGTCGGCATCCGGCGGGCAGCATCAGCTATGTACCGGACATTTCGGCGTCTGCGTTACCATAGTACGGTCCACTGCAGTTCCAGGCTCACCATGGAAAAGCCGTCCTCGAACACACCTTTATCAGCTGCTTCCGGAAGCGTTCCACACCCCGGAGATCACACGCGCTGGTTGTGAGGGCTTTACACCTGTTTATTGATCATGATGACATGAGACGGCACAGGACGATGTGACGATGCAAGGTGAACCGCTCGAGCGGCGAGTGGCGGCGACCGAAGGGGGCGGGGTGTCCGATCAGATCCGCTCTAGCGACTCCATCATGATGATGCTGTTACCGCGAACCACCTGTGGACCACGGCACCGACAGCGGGTCAGATCGGGCAGCACGCCCACTGACTGTACACCACCGGCACTGGGGTAACTACACGCCACCGGCTCTGGGGTAGCCACACGCCACCGACACTGGACTGGGGTAACTGACTACACACCACTGACACTGGGGTAATTACACACCACCGGCACTGGGGTAACTACACACCACCGACACTGGCACCGGCACTGGGGTTACTACACGCCACCGGCACTGGACTGGAGTAACTGACTAAACACCACCGACACTGGGGTAACTGCACACCACCGGACTGGGGTAACTACACGCCACCGGCACTGGGGTAACTACACGCCACCGGCACTGGGGTAACTACACGCCACCGGCACCGACACTGGACTGGGGTAACTAACTTCACACCAGGGGCATTCCACGATAGATCGTACCAGGTCCGTCACCTTCATCTCTCAGATTTTAATGAAAATCGGTCCTAGGGGTAATCATAGGCCCCAAAGACGCCTGGCAGACTTTTCAGCTCAAAACTTTTTCAGTTATATTGCATTACATTTTCTAACTTCGGCTTGTAACGGTGAGTTTGATGGCCTATAACTCAAGAAAGGGTTAAGCAACCAACAAACGGTAAACAACACTTAGCTTGCGATGAATCAAAAATTAATACTACTTTTTAAAAATTCCAAAGAAAATTTTTCATTGTTGAACAAAAACCTTAATCTTTTTTCATTTGCCTCTTATGACTTTTGGGACCAAATTTTTTCACATTTTTATTTTTCCAAAATAAACTTCATGTCATTGCAAATCGACATGCAAAAAATTAGAAAGGTGTTCTTTCTGTAAGTTCCTCATTTTCCCGCAAACAAAATGGGTTTCGGAGGGGTTGATACGACCCAAGCACGCCGTTCCGCTTCTACTAGGAGGTTCAATAAATACGAGAAAATCGCCCGTACCTCCCTCAAATTTTGTCGTAGAGCAAAAAATAAAATACGACTTGAATTCCCGTTCAATTCTCTACAAAATGGCTATCTCCAACATTCACGGAAGTGTATTTTGCCATCACACATATCCCTTGAACAAACTACTCCACGTAGTCTCCGTTCAGCTGCACGCATTTTTCCCAGCGCTCCACCCAGTGTAGGAAGCCGGCGCGGAAGAAGTCAGGGCTGCAGCCGCGAATCCACTCCTTCACAGCAGACTTCACGGCTGCGTCGTCCTCGTACCGTCTGCCACGCAGATGGTCCTTCATGGGCCCGAAGAGGTGGTAGTCGCTGGGCGCCAGGTCCGGGCTGTACGGCGGCTGTCGCATCACCGACCAGCCCAGCCTCTCGATCTCGCGGACGGTGGCGCGCGACGTGTGAGGACGGGCGTTGTCGTGGTGGATCTTGATGCCGCTGACCTCCAGTTCCGGTCTCTTCTCTCTCACCGCTCTCTTCAGCTTCCGTAGCGTCTTGATGTAGCGGTTGCTGTCCACGGTCTGCCCTGCCTCCAAAAAGTCAACCAGGATGACCCCGTCACGATCCCAAAAGACCGTGACCATGACCTTGCCAGCACTCGCAGCGACCTTGAAGTGTCTGGAGACGGGTGAGCCGGGATGTCTCCACTCCATGGACTGGCGCCTAGTTTCCGGACAATAGTGATGTGCCCAGGTTTCGTCCCCGGTGACGACTCCGTTGAAGAACTGATCTCCGGCCGCCCGGTACTCTTGCAGGAGATCCTCGCAGATTCGTCGCCGATTCTGCTTTTGCTCCTGGGTGAGTTCTCTGGGAACCCATCGGGCGCAGACTTTGTGGTAGCCCAGCTGCCTGACCATGTTGACCACTGAGCCCACCGAACAAGCCAGCTGTTCAGCCAGGTCCGTGACTCGGATCCGGCGATTGGCCTTGATCAGGTCATCCAGTTTCTGAAGGTTTTCGGGTGTTGCGGATACCTTGGGTCTTCCCGGTCGGGGTTCGTCCCGGATGCCTCGCTTTCCATGCTTGAAGCGCTTTACCCACTTCCAAATGGCAGATACCGCCAGTGCATCATCGCCATAGGCTTCGCGCAGTTTCCGGTGGATTACAGTGGCCGATGTTTCGCCGAGTTTAACGTAAAATTCAATAACTGAACGTTGCTTTAAAACATGGTCCATTTCGTCACGACACCAACATACAACCAGAAAGAAAATCTGAAATAGCCAGTTTGTAGAGAATTTTTCGTAGTTTCACGTGCTTTTTTCATTGTTGCTCCACGACAACACTTAAGGGAGATACGAGCGATTTTCTCGTATTTATTGAACCTCCTAGTAATAGAGCTAGAGCCTCGCGGAAAAAACGAGCGTGTGTGCCGTTACAAGTCGCAGCGATTGGTACCCGATTTTAAGGTCTCAGGTTAACCCTCGCCCGCACATGCCATTTTCCCATCCTAGAACGCACATGGGGGGGGTGGTTGCCACCCCCCCCCCGCGCCAATTCGCTCCTGTTGGAGATAGAGCTTAGCAGTAAAGACCAAAAAGATTCTTTGGGAAGAGACGAATCCAATGATACCCAGTTTTACCTTCTCAGGTCAGTCATTGACCTTCCAGGTCAGGTCAAACTAAAAAATGTTGCTGTTTTGGGTCACCGTTGGATATCAAGTGTGCTGCTTAGCAAATACCGATGACGATGCTGTTTTCTGGTGCCAAGCCAGCTAGAACCTCTTTGTCACACTACCCGACCATATTTTTGCTGCTGAGGTCATTTCAGGTCAAGTTAGGTCAAGGTCAATTATATGTGTGTGTATGTCTGTGTGTGTCTGTGTGTATACTGATGTGTGCACCGATTGTTTTTGGGTCCATATTACATGAAATCATGATCTGAGAAGCTTTTACCAAAAATGCAGTCAAAAAACTTCAAAAAAAGTAAATTCAGCTTGCCTAGAACGCAATTATCTTAGATGACCTAGGTTGACCTTGACCCTGACCTTGACCCCTGTACATCGTCGAACGACATGTTCCATGATAGGTGGGAGGTAAGACTGGCAAAAAAGGCCGAAATCAGGGTATCAAAAGCTCATAAGGCCCATGGCAAACGCAAGATGTTGAGAATTGGCCATTTGGGTCATGACATGACCTGAAAAACAAGGTCATATCTCCGAAACCAAAAATCACAGAAACTTGAAATTTTTAGTGGACATCAAGAAAGAATAGAGGAGCAGCTATACGAAAAATCAGCCTTCTAGCTCTAAAAATGTTGAGTGCAGAGCAGAAAGACTACCTGGGGGGGTGGCAACCACCCCCCCCCCCCCATGTGCGGGCGAGGGTTAACCGGTAGCGTCTGAGGTCAGGTCAAGTGACTGAAGTTACGGGTTCGGTTTTTAGTAAATAACTTCGCAAAAAATGGCCGCAGAGCCGCGATTTTGGCATCATTGTGTTCGCCTAGCTCAGGTGCGTCGAATGGTATACTTTTTGTTAGGGTGAGGTCAACTTAAGTAGTTGACCTCGGGTCAAGGTCAGGTCAGAGCCCCTCAGGCCATGAAGCTGGGCAAAGGGCAGCATATGGCATATCGTTCGATTCGGAAGGTCTTCCCAAGTCCATTGGTGACTTTCCCGACTCTCTAGCTCAATTTGATCGGGAGTTATTGGCGAAAAAACTCGTAAGACCCTAGTGACGTCATAAATGACGTCACGCAAGGCTAACAATGCAAAAGTGAAGCAATGGTCTTTGCAAGGAATGCATGAAATCACGATACCATGTACGTAAGATAGTTTTAGATCATTCTCGGCGCCAAATAGCAGTTTTTATATTTCCCCATTGACTTATAACAGTGATGTCACGTGACCGACCTGACCTCATGTGACCTTAAAAAAAAATTCCCTGATATACAAGTTGTGAGACCTCTGGAGGACACCATGTATGCGTCCTGTAACTTTCATCTCGGACAGCTATGGTCATTGGCGTCCAAAACAATATCAGAACCAAACAGCCTTTTTCACTCTCGCGCTTATCCATAGGAAAGAGGGTTGGATGAACCCTCTTTTCATTTTTTTTTTAGATGACTCAGACTTCAATTGAAATTTCAGTAACCCGTGATGTCACTAGGCAGCTTTACCACGCCATTTGTAAGCTTCCCTCCCGAAATCACTATTCGAAACCGTTATTGTGACGTAAAATAAAAACATTTATAGAAAGAACACCTTCCTAATTTTTTTGCATACTTCTTCACAATGGACCAAATATTTTTTTAAAGAAATAAAAATTCCAAAAATTTGGTCCCAAGGTCCAAAAAATACAAATGAAAGAAAACTCGATATGTCATATATCATAAATAGCGTATTTTTCAAAATTTCAAAAATACATATTTATCTCCATTTCATTGCAAGTTCAATGTTATATAACATTTGGCATTTCAATAATCCGTCTTAGAGTTACAGCCCGCCAAACTTACCGCTGCAAAGCAAGATCCAAAAAATGTCATACACCATAACTAAAAAATACTTGTCTGATAAGCCTGAAATTGTTACAGGTGGATTCAGAGCCCCTGATTACCCCTGGGACCAATTATCATCAAATTCCGAGAGATGAGGGTGTAAAATTGGAAAAAAGTGGTACGATCTATCGTGGAATGCCCCATCACTGGCACTGGGCCGGTAACTCTAACTTCACACCACTGACTCTAACTTACCCCAGTGCCGGTGGTGTGTAGTTACTTCACAGTTCACACAAGGGGTAACTACACACCACCGGCACTGGGGTAACTACACACCACCGACACTGGGGTAACTGACTACACACCACTGACACTGGGGTAACAATACACCACCGGCACTGGGGGAAACTATACACCACCGGCACTGAAGTAACTACGCGCCACTGACACTGGGGTAACTACACACCACCGGCACTGGGGTAACTACACACCACCGACACTGGGGTAACTGACTACACACCACTGACAGTGGGGTAACTACACACCACCTACACTCGGGTAACTGACAACACACCACCTACATTGGGGTAACTACACACCACCGACACTGGGCTAACTACGCACCAACGGCACTGGGTCAGCCCGCCCAGTAATAACGCGCCGAGAAGCCACACACCACCAAACCAAACGGGGCGACGGAGCGGGGCGGGGCGTGCCTACGGGGCGAGGGCGTGCGAGAGCAAATCGACACGGCGCAGACAAAATGTGACCGTGAGAGGGAGATCTGCGTTTAAAATCACGCAATGACTGTTATACAGCTGACAAATAGTGTGTATGTGTCCTATTCCAAGCAATGCCAATTTCAAAAATCCCATGTTTTGTGAGGACGGTCCGAATCCACTCACCACCATGCCAATCTTGGAGCGCTGGCCACTCTTTGAGACCTCGAGGCTCTCGTCCAGCACGAGGTTCATGAACGGGTCAAAGCCGCGGAGCACCCCCTCGATTTGGCGGCCGCCGTTCAGCTTCACTGCACAGAGACACACGGGGAGAGGTGAAATTCACCTGGACTGGTATTTGTCACAATGTCCAGTCACCAAGAACCAATACCACTTTCTGAAATACCACTTCACCCAGAGCTTTAACCTTCGAAATTGAATACGGCTCGGTGAATACGGCTCAGCTACACCATGTTTTGATCATTTGTTTAAAAATAAATGGCGGATTCGCATCAAAGTTGCACCGTTCTGTAAAAAAACTACATTTACCCAAACTCTGTATTTACACATACACTGGTGCAGGTCATCCACAATTTCCCAACATGCTATCTGCATACTCACATGTCATGTGTTTGTCCATAAACCTGAAAAAGAAGAACAAGTCGGTTATCACTCCGGTAGGCATATACGGCTAAAATCAAGCCCGATAGGCAGAGAAGGGTTGATAGATGCCATCTCACGACATTTGCGATCGCTCTCGACATGTTTCAATGAAACCTTTACCTTGGTATGCCTTTAGCCATTGACACCAATATCAATCCAACCATATTTATGCAAGCATTGTTCTCTAAAATTACTCTAAAAAGTGATTCAACTAAAAGTCAGCAAAGGTCACCAAAAGCCTGAGAACTGACGTTCACCTGACCTTGACTATCACCATAGCCAATGGGAGACACAGTAAAATGTTGGCAAGCGCTTTTTAGGCTCATTGTAACTAATCATCGTAACCAGTGTAATGACTGGTGTAAATGTATATGTTACAGGCAATGTGTGGAATCAGGCATTCTATAGAATGCCTAGGCATTCTATAGAATGCCTGACCGACCAGGCATTCTATAGAATCCCTAGGTATTCTATAGAATCCCTGACTGCTTAGGCATTCTATAGAATGCCTGGCTTAAGCTCCCAGGCATTCTATAGAATGCCTATGCCTAAGTTTTTTGATTGTCCGAAACACACTTCGAAAATTAGAGGTCAGTGGCAGTAATGCTATTTGTTAACCTAATTTTCTTTGTTGGCCTAGGCCGGTCGTCACCTCACACCATTTCAGGGCAATGAGTTGAGAGGAAGCGAGGGAGAAATTGGGCTATGCCGACCACCCAATCGGTGCGCCGCAAGCAGCAACTGATCCAATCCCGTTGGCACGGGAGAGCCACGGCGCAAGGCACGCGGGAGAGCCACAGGCCAACCAGTCGCTTAAACGGTTACCCTCGGAGGATTATGCTGCTACAGATACGAAGCTGCATTAGAAGAGTGTTGGCTGGGAGGGCGGAACGTAGGCTTGAATCGAAAGTGATTGCGAATGACGATGGCTTTGTTCGGATGTTAGAAAGCAGTAAAACGCCTTTTGGGCGAAGAACGAGCGAGCGAGATAGTGAGCCCTGCACGTGCGGAAGGGCGAGAGGGTATTTCCAACGGGCTTGTGCAAAGCACCCTTCTAAACGGTTGCTAGCGGTGTGCCAAATTTGAACGCATTCGGCCCAGCCGTTCCTGAGATCTGGAAGCGGCATTCTGCACGTGCGCACGTGCAAACGGGGTCCAAACTGACTTTTGCACGGCACCCTACTAACCGGTCCCCAGCCGTGTACCAAATTTGAGCACAATCGGCCCAGCCGTTCTCGAGATCTGGAAACGCCCCCTGCACGTGCGCACGTGCAGTAGCACCCTAACTGCAACACATGGGAATGCATTGCCTGGTGGGTGCCTACCTAAATGCCAAGTTTCAGCGAAATCGCCCAAGTAATTACCGAGTTATTAAAATGGGAACAAATTTGACACCTCTTATTGTTGTATTTTGCACGTGCACTTAGGGTGACCCACATGCATCGAGAGCATCCTATTTTTGGTAGAAGGGATGCAGCTACCCTACAAAAACTACCGCAAGACAATCGCCCTAGCGGCTGCTGAGATATGAGCCTCTCAAAATCATTACTTCTGCAAAACAGCTTGAACACCCTTGACTTTTCACGTGGCACGTGCCACGACGATCACTGAGATGTATCAAAAGTAGTCAATTACGGGGTAGAAGGGATGGGGCTACCCAACAAAAAAGACCGCAGGCCAATCGGTCCAGCGGTTGCTGAGATATAAGCCTCTCAAAAGCGTTACAGGCCGGGCCGGGCCGGGCCGCTCATACTGAGATTTTTCCGTTATATTGAAAAGACTTCGCTTCGCTCGCTGTGCTCGCTCGCTCGTAATCAATTCCTTAGAAAGCAAACACCACCAAAAATGGACGATTTGTCAAACTTTTTTCTGTGTAATTTTTTACCAAAGGCGTCTCCGATATTGACATTACCACCATCGTCTTTCTAGCTTGAAGATAAATAACTCTGTACTCTCAGAATGAAATCCTGATACAATTTGACCTAATAAGGTTAGATTGAATACCTGACCGGAAAATTTGACTGAATGAACATGAATGACTGAATGAACATTTGACTGAATGAACATAAACAGCTGACCGCAAGGTAGCCTGGCAGAAAATAATAATGCTACACATCGGTCTGTGCTCATAATCTTATACAACATACACTAATATGTTGGAAAGAATAGTGTTTCCTAGGCATTCTATAGAATGCCTGGTCGGTCAGGCATTCTATAGAATGCCTAGGCATTCTATAGAATGCCTGATTCCACACATTGCCTGTAACATATATACCTATGAAAAGTTGCAATGAAAATCAGTGCCAAGCAGACATAGGCTTCTGATCGAGACGTCTCGAGACGAGAGTGACACTCAAAACGCCTGGGGTGAAGCACGAAATCTGCATGGCCACACTGCCGCGTGGTTCTGAAAGATGGGGAAACATACGTCACCCCTGACCTAACAAGAGCCGAACGAGAGGCAACCCACGCAGTGAGGAAAGAGCTCGCTGCCCGCAAAGCAGCTGTAGAGACGTGTCTCACCATCCGAAGGGGAAGGGTTGTCAGAATTGGGACCAAATCTGCTAAAGAGGCTGTTGAGCGCAGTGCTGCTGCCACTGATGCTGTATCAGGAGGTCGGAGGAGAGCAAGTACCCCTGCCCCAGGTTCATATTCCCATCCAGATCCAGACAGCACTCGCCAGGCTGCTCGGGCGGAGGAGGTGCAAACTGCAAGGGGAGTGCAGGGAGCGACGCGGGAGGGAGGGGAACAGCCGCGCGTGACGACGTGGACGTGGCGGGGAGGCCGCACCGTCGGTCACGGTTTCTGCGTCTCATTTTGTTTTCTTCTTTGGTTTCCTTTTTTCTGTCGTGACCTACTGTGGCGGTTGGTTCCAGGAGCAGGAACTGCCACCAACAACCAACTCCGGCTCCGGTTCGCAAAATCGACTCCGACTCCGACCCCAGTCAGAACTGTCGACTTTGACCAACTCCGACTCCGCAGCTCTGCTCACCAGGAGACTGCGTAAAAGTTTCGAATCCCAGCTGGCAGCGAATCTATTGAAGAATCCCAGGAGTTTTTGGCGGTACACGAACTCCACACTGAAGACAAAGCCGACTCTGGATGACCTCCGGAACTCTGGAACGCCGGAGACCGTGACGCTGGAGAGCAGAGGCGACGCCAAGGCCACGATCCTGAACGACTTCTTTGGCTCCGTGTTCACCCAGGAGGAGCTTTGTGAAGCACCTGTCCTCACTGTTCAAGGGCCGACGCAGGAGCTCATTGACATGGCCATTCGCGGGGCGCTGGCCGAGGTCGCGGGTGACCTGCCTGACCGGTCGAGCATGCTCCTCCTCTGCTGCGACTCGCGCGCGGCCATCCAGTCGCTGAAAGACACGGCGGACTCCCAGTCGGCTCTGGTAGCGGAGATCAGGGACCTGCTGGATACAATCACCTGATCGGGCCGCAGGCTCCACTTACAGTGAGTGCCCGGCCACGCGGGCCTGCCGGAAAACGAGGAGGCGGACCGTCTGGCAGCGATCGGGAGCTCGCGAAGACAGGACCAGATCCCCGTAGACCTGTGGTCGGCGAGAGCCGCAGTGGCCCGTCGGGCGCGGGCGATGTGTGATGCGCGCGCCAGGCACAGCCACCCGTATCCCGGCCCGGACTCGACAGACTGGACCGCCGAGCGTCGATAACAGTGGCGCAGCTCCGGGTGGGATGTTCGCCTTTGACTGGCGACACCCGACACCGACTGGCTGAGTCCGACGCGTGCGTCGACTGCGGCGAGCCAGATTCGGCCCCACACCTGGTGCTGGGCTGCCCCGCACACCAGGGGCCTCGGACCCGCCGATGGCGCCCCTGCCGACGTTGGGAGAGGTATTCACCGATGCTGACCTCCTAGTGGACTACCTGGTGGAGACAGGTCGGGTCCCACGGGATCCGGACTAAGCTGGTAAAGAAGAAGAAGAAGAAGCTCATTTACATCAAGATAACACCAATGGCAGAACAAAGGAAGCTACTTACCCTGAACCCTGCTAGTGCACCAGGACCAGCTCCAGCTCAATTCAGTTGGGGAAACTGTGAGGCGCCCAACTAAAATTTGATAAGCCTATCAACAGCTGGAGTGGGTGGGGCGATGATCATATATAGTCATAAAATCAGAAAGCTTAATCTTTTCCATGCATCCTAGCATTTAAATGAAAAAATAAGGCATAAGAATGTTTTTAACCACACAAGGGCTATACTCACTCAGTGCACGATGCACTGGCGGCTCTAAACCAGTAGGTGGAACTATGGTCATGAGTACCCAAATATAGGAACGTTCCCATTTTTGGGAACGGAGTTCCCAAATATGCGAACGGGCGTTCCCATTTATGAGAACGGAAGGTAATTTTCCGGCCGTTCGCCCACTAAAACTCATTAGTGCATCACGTCTCAAAAAAGTGCACGCTAATTTAAGTATCTACTAAGTCTCTATAAAATTATCTTTAATCTGACCGTTGAACAAGAAAATTGACCGTCGAATGATATTTTTAATGATTTTTTGAAAATGACAGAACGGTGTAAACATGGCTTATACTACATTTAACATGCAATTTTAAGGAAAATGAGGTGTTTTTTACATTTTGAGGTCAAGTATAATAATTTTCGCCTGGTTATGAAGTTTCATTCTAGCGACACCAGATGCTGACATACGCAAGCAAACACGCGGACGGTCCCGAGGTAATATTGTTGACTTTTGGTGTCGGGGTGCATAACCGCGTGGAACGTGAGTGAATTTACCGAACTACTGTTGTAAACTCAGTTTCAGTGGTTTAAAATTATTCAGCTGTATTTTATCAGCCCGGAAAGACATATTTTATTTGGATTCTAGCTGTTTAGCGTTGTTTTATAAGGAACGTCATGAGCGTGGTTTTTGTCTTCCGTGTTTCTAAGCATGATCGTTTTGGGGGAATTTCTCTTATATAGGTCGCTCTGTGTGGCTTATTTATAATTTTTATGCTGATTTCGATCATTCCTCGTGCCCATCGTACCAGGCCTTTTGCCACTTACACTCATTAAGAAAGAAAAAAACTAGATTTTCATTGGGACTAGGTGTTTTGAGGGTGTAACATATTCAGCGTTCCCATTTTTGGATACTTCCTTGTGCTCGTCAACTATCGGTGATAAACAGACAGGTGCTTGACATGTCTCCACCCTCGGCGCGGACGGTGGATATAGGTATGGAAGACCTTGTTGAGCATCGCCGAGCGTTGTGAATTACGTAATCCTGCAGAGGGGGGCGTGCCCCCTGCGGGATCGACGGGAATACGAGCGCAGAAGACTCGGCGAAACATGCAACGGTCTTGCCGGAAAGGTCATCTGATGATTGTTGCGTTAACAATAATTTGCGGCGTTGGACGTGATGCTTGTTAATGAAAAGAGCCCCTGAAAGGCGTCAGTGAAATCGTTCCCAATTTTGGGTACGCCGTTCCCATAATAAGGAACGCTTGCAGCGCCAGTGTACGAGAGCGTTCCCAAATTTGGGCTCGCGGCCCGGATGATGGACTGCTTTAGAAATAGGGGAAGGATTTGAAACTACGATGGGCCTTACAATATCAAACTCTTTCCCAACAATATTGAGACAAATATCAGGCAGTTCACGATCGTTTTATATTTTTTGGATGTCATCTAACGGTTCTTTTTCTTGTTTTAAATAATGCCTACATGGCGTTCCCATATTTGGGTTTATCGTTCCCAAACATGGGAACGAAAATGCGTTCCCGAAAATGGGTACGCTTGACCATAGTTCCGCCTACTGAAACCCCAGAAATACAATACAAGGTCAAAAAGTGATTGGCAAATATGGTGGATTGAAACATACCTGCGCACTAAAACATGTAACCACTTCCATGGCTTTTAAATGTCATTATTTTTATTGTTTTGCATATGATTTTTCCAACTGTGCTTTAATTATTATTTTAAAATTACATCTTTATTTATTGTAATAAATCTTATAACAATTTTCTTTCAAAATACCAATCCATTTATGGAATGGCCAGCTGATTGTGATGCCCCGAACCTGCAGAATAGCTGTTTTACTGCCTCCATTTCTGAGTTAATTTGTCGAATTTACTCAAGTCGCGTTAATTCCTAGTGGAAAATGGAAGCCTTTTCTCTGCAATAAGTGGACACGATATCGCAAGTACCGGTACATTATACCGTTTTTCACCCGTAGTAGCAAGGGCTGCATTTATGTCCATATATGGTAATCAAGTCTATTGATTGACCAATCAATTTTTGGATCCTCGCCTCGTAGTTTCCCCAACTCAAACTGAATTTGTCCTGAAATTCTTACTCACTTTTTCAGTTCCGGAGGATGCGCCTTGCTCATGGTTGGCTTTCTTTATTCAATGTGTCAACGGATCAAATTATTATGAAAGGGCGTAGTGTCCAAAGCAAATATAGGACAGAAGCTCAAAAAATGTACAATATTTCACAATATCCTATTATACACTTCTTCTTCTTCTTCTTCGTGGATTAGGGCGCCTATTATACACGCCGGCGCCAAAAACCAAAACGTTCCACACGTTTTTATAGGCTTGACAGAAGTGGCGCAGCTCGACATAACTGGCGGTAGTTTCAGAAGATGCCGGTACTAATTTGATGCCAGTCGATTCGCGTGGTCCTTTATTATGCAAGATTTCAACGTTTTCACCGTAAGATCATGGATGTTTTCACTCGTGTCGTCCAATGGTCAAAATTAAAACCATTGTTCATCTGCGGTTAGAATAAATGGTGGGGAAGCGCTACTATTTACATAAAAATTCAGGCCACTTCCTTCGAATTTCGGGCACGGCAGAAAAAGCGTCTCCCCTAACAATACGCTACAGCCGTTTTTCCTTTTTTGTACTCACGATGCTACCAGTCACTCAGGTTATTTGCGCTTTGGTTTTGGAAAGGTAAGCAAGATTTCAATGTCTGCAAACGTTTCAACGAAACCCAAGGCACCAATGCCTGGAAATGACGGGTCGGATGCGCCACAAACAGGGCCCAGCACATACTAATTCAACATTTAATATAAATTAACTGACACTGTATTAGCAGGGGCTGTTACTAACTTGTTCGTCCCTATATATTGTGTTATATTAGTCGTCGTGACCACTGACCGCTAATCGCCTCCTTAAAGCACCGCCACCACCGCTCAGAAAAAAAGCAGACACCCGCTACGCTCGAACAGAGTATATTTATCAGCAGTTGTACATCATAACGACACCCGCGCTCCTCGGCACCGGCGCGGCAGCCGGCCTCCCCCGCCCAATGCCCGCCGTCAGTGGCCGCACGCGTCACGCTCACTGGCACACAATCATAGATACAAGCTTCGTCGATTAAAATAAACACGGCGACAAGACCGGTGTAAGGAGCATACAAAAATAAGAGTCCCACACTCGCTCACACCCCGCGTCGATCGTTGACCAGCTACCGCATAGCCGGATTGCAGCATTGACGATACCCGAGACATTTTCCATTAACTGCACGATGACACCACACAGGTGGCGCTAGCTCCGCCACACGAACGTTGTAGGTGGCGCCACCAGTTGGCTGCCGGGCCGGCCGCTACTACGCCGCAGGCTGCCCCCGTTCGTCCGCAGTGACCGGTATGAAGTCCGCGGCCGAGCCGCACCGATAGTCGCGCCGCTCACGCCACGTAGAGCCGGTAGACGAGGGCGACCACGAGGGCGGCCACTATCGGTGCCACCCAGTTCATGGCTCCGCTGAAAGCAGTCCGAACCATGTTGAACAGGCCCAGCGCTCTGGGCTCGACGCTACAGCATTGGTGGGTTGGTGTAGAGAGACATTCGGGGACGGCTGCGACAGGAAATGGCGAGAAGAAAACATTTATGAAAATCCATAGAAAAGTCCTAGAACACACATAGAGACCTAAATAATGAATGAATAGGCATTTCGTACGGTAAATTGGAGAGTTTCACGAATATCCACAGCGCTGATTGCTCATCATTCACAAACGCTCATTTATGTGTCAGTGTGTGCGCATGTGTGAAGAAGAAAACACGATGCAGGAACACAAAAAGCGAATTCACCATGAGCTCCAATATCTGAGCGGCTTTTGTACGCTCTTATCACGTCCCGACAGCCATCTTCCGTCACTTTCAATAGTGTCTTCTGATAACTACCATGCTCGTGGCCTTGAATCCGATACCTGTCATCACACCTTTATATGTCCCACTATCAGCAGCCGGGGGGGGGGGGGGGGGCGGCGAGTCATACCCACGTCCAGACGTGAATCAATGACAGCTGGTGTAATCGATAAATCAATGAACAACACGTGTCGTAGATTGTGCACAGCCATCTAGAAGGAAATACCCATCACCAGAATATTTAGAAGTAATCTGTAGAGGACCCCCTCTCCATACAATCTGACCCGCTCGCCCTCCGCGGGGATGAAATCCTAACTTTCCGTCTGAGTCGGCTGACGACACGGCTCTCTGGGCGATACCCGGAGTCTCAGAGTGCCACCGCCGGTAGTGGCGGACGGTGGGGGATACCGCACCCGCCCAGCCAAATCCCCCATACACACCCAATCCCGAACATACGCCATCCATTGACAGATTATCAACGAATTTCTATATCTGATCCTCTGCTGGTAATAAATATAAATGTCAAGGAAACGTCCATTAGAGCGGCCTAACCGCGTTCCGTTTTTGTTTAGGAAAAATAATTTCACTTCTGGCATATAAAAGTGCGTTAAATCATCCTGGGAGTGATCCTCTAGCCACTGCGTCGCCCTTCTAGTGCCCCGTGGAGCCCTCTCTGTACCACGTGCAGACCCACCTGTGCCCAATGTCCCGCTCTGTGGATCTGCTCTCAGGTATCCTGTGGAGACTGTACCGGTGTCTGGTGTCCAGTGAAGCCCGTCAGTGTGCGTGGCGCTCTGTGTGTCTGTGGAGCCCTCTCTGTACCCTCTGGAGCCCTCTCGGCCGCCCCACCTCCCAGCCCCGCTCACCCGCTGGGCGCCGGGTCGCTGGACGACCACGTGAACACCTTCTCCTTGGTGTGCTGTTTGTCCTCCTGAAACAGGGGGCGCGGGCCGTGTCAGCTCCGTCGTGACTCACCCACTATCAGCCGCACACCGGCGTATCGCGCCCGGCTCCCCCACTTCAGACCAAAGTGGGGGCCGGGCCGCGGGCCGGGCCGGCAGAGGAGCGGCCTATCTGTGGCCGGAGACTGAGCGATCAACGGGCGCAGGAGGAGGGGCCGGGACGGACCAGGGAGGGTGGCCGGCACGGACCAGGGAGGGGTGGCCGGCACGGGGACAGCAGAAATGGTCCAGACGGGGACAGGAGGGACAGTCGGGACGAGTGCCGAGGTCAGCGGAGATGGCATGGCGCAGAACGCTGCCTACTGCCGATTGCCGACTGCCTGGCAGGTGCTGCATTTGAGGAAAAAACACACATTTGGCACCCCTGTCAGTTCCGTACAAAAGCTGGCTCCCTCCCAGCTCCGTAACCCGATCACTCGTGTAACCCGGTCCCTCGTGTACCCCGGTCAGTGGTGTACCCCGGTCAGTGGTGTGTCCCCGTCAGCTGCGTACCTCGGCGAGCTCGCCGATCTGGAACTCCTTCATCATCTCGCGGGCGTCGGTCGAGTGGCCCACGTCCTCAAAGTTTTCCGTGGCCACCTTCCCGGCCATGTCCTTGAGCACCTCCTCTCCGCCAGGGTGCTGCCGGAGCACAACGGGTACAACAGAGGTCACAAGGGGGCACACGAGGTAGCACGAGGTAGCACGAGGTCACATGAGGTCACACGAGGTCATATGAGGATACAAGAGGTCATGAGGGCACGCGAGGTCACACGAGGTCACACGAGGTCACAAGAGGTCACAGGAGGTGATGCAGTCGAATTCAGGTGCGATTATGTATAATGTGCCTCAGGAAATCAGGATTCCTCTATCTTCAAAGTACTCTACAAACCTATATAGAGAATTCGTATAGAAATTACTTTGAAAATACGATTAGCTCCAAAGGCGTGCTCCAATGGTGTAACGACAGTCCTGTTCCAAAAGACCCGTTTGCCATGTGCACTGCAAATTCCATATCCAGTGGTGTGGAATAGACGTGAACATTACTCTAACCCTCAATCACCACCGTAAAACGTGAACCCTCGTTTCCGTCTGTCAACACAAGGCAAAGGATTCGCATAAACCCATAAAAACACCCGTTTACACCAAGTTTACACAGATATGAATGTAACAGCACGCTGCTACGCCGGACCAATGTCTCAGACCACTGTCAGACCACTGGCTACGTCTGACCGATGTCTCAGACAGCAGAGGCTACGTCAAACTCATGTCTCTGACAACAGGCTGCTACCACAGCCGATGTCTGGGACAGCAGACGTCAGACGATGTCTGGGACAGCAGACGTCAGCCGATGTCTGGGACAGCAGACGTCAGCCGATGTCTGGGACAGCAGACGTCAGCCGATGTCTGGGACAGCAGACGTCAGCCGATGTCTGGGACAGCATACGTCAGCCGATGTCTGGGACAGCAGACGTCAGCCGATGTCTGGGACAGCAGGCGACAGCCGATGTCTGAGACAGCAGACGACAGCCGATGTCTGGGACAGCAGACGTCAGCCGATGTCTGGGACAGCAGACGTCAGCCGATGTCTGGGACAGCAGACGTCAGACGGATGTCTCGGACAGCAGACGTCAGCCGATGTCTGGGACAGTCGCCGCCTCACACGAGTGCGGCCCCAGTGCCAATAAACAGGCGGTGGTGTCGCGGCCATTTGCACACCGTAAACACGCCAGTGGGCCATCAGTCGGACAGCGTGACCCGGTCCCAGCTCGCGGTGGCAGGGCCCCGGGCGGCACAACAGGCCCTTAGAGGAAGTGGATCATCAACTTGGGTGGAACATTGCCCGGTGAAGCGTAAGAAGCCCTGAGCTCTAACAACGCCTTCAGCTTATGACAATCAGGTAAAATGAAATTGCAAAGAAGCTACAACAATGTCGAATGGTGATTCTAGCCCTGCGTTCGACATCTGGAAAATAAGGGATAATTATTCGGGATCACCGGTAATTATTTGGTATTGCAGGAACCATCGATGCAATAAGTCACATTTTTATATTGTTTTAGCTTCACTAATGGCTCTTTTGCTCGTTGTCATGTCCGTTGTGCACGGTGTCAGCCTAAAACACCGAATGATCCTGGTGGTCCCGGAAAATTATCCCTGATTAGGTATCCGGATGCCGAATGCACGCTAGGTATGAGGGCATCTTCTTCTGAAGCTACCAAATAAGTTCGAAGAAATAATTACGAGCGGCTAAAATTCGTGCCGACGTGACGCTGCGTTGCGTGTCTCGTCCCCATGTCAAACATGTTTGAAGTCGCCGCCATTATTATGAAACCAAACAAACGCTGGCGTTGGGCCATTCACGACAGAGGACGGCCAGCAGCTCGGGTGCCGCGCCGCCAGTGTTCTAAAATTGGATATTGGTTGGGTGTACCGATGAAGAAGAAGAAAAAATCCTAGGGTGAGAAAAAAGTAAATAACTGAAGTATTTTTGCAAAATGGTGTAATGCAAATTTTTATGCCAACTGATAAACCAGGATTTCATGTCAGGGTCTTGACAGGGTGTGGAACAAAAGGATGTGGGTGCATCAACTGTCAAGTGACATGTGAACTGGCTATTGGGAATACATGAAACTCTTTTCAGAGATGAAGTTAAGTCGGTCATTCATATTTTAGGGATGAAAATATTTTGCCAATTAGGTGTGATTTGCCACCAAAAAGTCTGAAAAATGTAACACTGCGCGCCGCACGGAGTGTAGGTGGGGAGGGCGGCGGGCAGAATTGGCCAGACGCGGGCCGTGACCTCGCTCAATGAGGATCCGGGTGCCGACCCCGTCTACGGGACATCAGCTGACCTCTGTTCGCCAGTGACCTCCGACCTGCTACTTATCGCGTCTGACTGGCAACATTCATTCAAAGGCGCGGTGAACACAATAGGAGCACTACCAGCCACGGACCAGCCATTCAACGACCGATCCTAACGCGGACAGTTCTTGCCGCCTTCTGTTCACCGCACTCCGCAGCAACCACACGAACTGCAGTAGACACTCGGAAGCGGATGTTTTCTGTTACATTCCCAGGACGCTCCATTGATGGATGAATCATAAACAGCTGAAATTCCCTAGCGCGCTAACGTAGTGATGGTTGAATGAAGCAAGAAAACTAGCATATTATGATTAGGCCGTTATCTAGTAAAAAAAAAAAATGCGGACGATTGATCAAATGTTGCTGAGTGGCATAACAGATGATGATACGTGTCTGGGGGGCGCCTTCTTTGACATATTCTGGCATTCAATGACCAGAATTTCCGAGCAGAAGTGATGCGGTCATGCCGAACGGACCGATCCTATAAATTGAGCTCGGTGTCTCGGCGCACGGCGCGGAGTCTGCCTAATCCGGCCACCACCCCCCCCTCCCCCTGCTCATCCTGCTGCGTCAGCATGACGACACGCCACGGGCCAACCGGCACTCAAGGTCGCCGCCCCCCGCGGCCGGCGCGAGCCCCTGCTCGGCGGCAGGGCGCGCGATTGGCCTCCAGGGTCACCGGCAGCGTACCGCGCGGCAGCCACCCGCGGAACGGGACGGAAATAGTGCGTCCTGGACCACCCGACAGGTTCCTCCCCAACGGGTACAGGTGCTGGCTGGTTTGACAGATTTCGCTGGGATTGGGAAAGACGGCGTGAAACTTGGCGAATGAAAGTTGCAGTGAGATGACAAAAATCGCAAGCGATTTAAGGGATGACATCTGGAGGCAATACGGAGCTCTCGACAAGATTCCCCGGCATCTTAGCTAGAAAATGAAGAAACGACGATGTGTCGGCAACAGCCCGCGGTTCGAAAAGCAGGGGTTTTCGCCTTTGAGGGGGCGCTGTTGCAGGGTTGCCCCATTCCACACTGCCGAATGACGGCGGAGTCGAGCATCATTCAAACTGGAATCCAGTTTCAGCGAGGTGCCCCGCCACATCCCATCACCGCCCCGATGTGGGACAGTTCTGGTAATGCCACCTTCCGATACCTGCGGCCGGTTTCATAAAAAGGCGTAAAATACGACTGGCGCCAGACATGTGCGTGGATCCGAGAAAATCGATCTGGGATGTGATTCCACGGATTCTGATCTCGGATCCGATGGGATCACACATAGATCCAGCTGTCTGATTTATTAAATGATACATCTGGATCATAGATCAGAGTCTGATTCTCTACATGAGATCCAGTGAGACATAGTCAGACCTCTCGATACGGACCTCTGTGTCAGGATCCATGGAATTGATCCCAGATCAATTTCTCGTATCAGATGGTATCAGACATAGATCCATCATCCAGCCCTGATTTATTGAGAGATACATCTAGATCATATACCCGAATCTAATTTTGTACATGAGATCCAGTGAGACATAGACCTCTGTATACAGTGTCCTGATTTTCGTGAATTTGGGTGGAAACCCACACCTGAACAGACTCTCTTTGCGACGTCCCGCAATGCCAAACGACGTCCCTGACAGATAAAAGTCGACAGGTATATCGAACACCAAAAGCAAACTAACAAAAAGAAATATCACATCTGTGGCCTAAAAACACGGCTATGCAAAATGACAATAAATATATCCCAAGGCCTCACAAACCCACTCTTATACTCAGCTCCCCTTTCCTACGCCGCTGGCCAACTGCCGCAACAGTAAACAACGCGGTTTTATTTTCGTTTTCTGTGCGTCAGATATGGATAGTTTTTTTTCCTTTACCATGTGAAGGTAATAGCTGCCATATGAAGGAGGAAAGATGTCGGAATAAAGGGATCTGAGGACGTCGTTTTCCACTTTTCAGTTTTAGTAACTGTGCAGTGTATAGATAGAAATTAATCATGTGAATATATTGCTTCGACATTTATCTATAAGCACACAACATACCTTTTGTATCAAATCACTGTAACATATTTAATTATTTTTTCCCCTCAGAAGGTCACAGTGACGGGGTTACGCTGCCCCTTGAACATGCCCTTCAAAAGTAGTTAATTTTGCATATGTTGATAGTGGTTGGGGAAAAAGTTTGTGTTTATTTTGTTTGAATTAAAATAAAATTACCGAATTTCAACCGTTTTAATTACAGTAGGTCGTCCTTGGCTTAAAAATACACGCAATGTTGGGGACGTCGATTGACCTTGTCATTCCCAGTTAATCGACGTCGGTACAAAACTGAAAAGTGCACAATGATTTCACATTTTTTCCAGCCAAGAAAAATTCAGCGTCTACCTTGGAGTTTTCTTAAAGGGACCCTCCCACCTTAACATTAGATTTGAGTTGAGATAGCCAAAATGGGGTCCCTGGCTCACAATTACCGGTTTCGGCACTCACAACATCGAGAAATGCCTTAAATCGGAAATATTGAATTTCAAAATTGCAGCATTTTGATTCAGAGGGGCTAATGCTTAGGAATACCCCTCTGAATGTGTGACGTCAGCGCAGATATCTAACGATTTTTAAATGTTTGACTAAAACGTTTTGTAGCACGCGGTGGTATATGCTATTTGCGCGCAACATCTGCCGCAAACGCCGCACTTCTAAAATAAAGTCGCTAGAAACAACGGAGATCCCAAAAAAGTAAACAAAAGTAAAAGTCTAATATTTTGAAAACCGGTGAATATTTTTCGGTGAAATTTGGTAGATATTTGTTTACGTTCTTTCTGAACCGAGCGACATCACTTTCATGCCAATTCATAAACTTTTTTGAAGGTGGGAGGGTCCCTTTAATTGAATTTCATAACAGGAAGCTATGGGAATTAATTTTCCGAACTGTATTCCATCTCTTTGTTTGGACGTCTGTTTTTTTACGTCACTCCTCTTGCTCGATATAATGTCCGACCCCCACCGGACACGATTTGGTAGCCGAGGTCTGTGACGTCAGCCGGGCGTGAAGTTTTCCCTTCACCATAGGCTTCACACACAAACCGGCCGAAGTTCATGCCAGGATAGCCCGGCTTGAAAGTGCAAAAATGATTAAATTTTGCCCTCAATAGATTCATTGCTTCATTTTATAACTAAAAACGTCCGTTATTAGGACTCAATGAAGGTAAAAAGTACTCAAAATCGAAGTTCAAGAAGATGCTGTCCGAGCACAATCTGGTAACATCACGTGACCTCTTTTAAGCAGAATGTATATAATTCAAGGATGTTATTACACGATTGCTGCCTAAAACATCATAAATAATACGCTTGTAACATTTATTGCTTCTGTTTAAGTCATAACATTGCAAAACGCAAAGTTTATCATGGAAGTCACGTGACCAAAGGTATAGCAGGGGTTGGGACAAGCACTCAAAGGATTTCAAGTTTTTTAATTAAATTATATAAGTTTCATGATGAAATTGAAAGAATGTATTTTTTCCTAATGAAATACAAATTTCCGTATGTAAAATATTTTCCTTATGGGCGAAATTCTCCATATAAGAAATGTCAGTGACGTCACCAGGGCTTTACTGGGCTTTACTCAAAACATCGGACCTACCTGTTTCTTATAGGTATCTTGATAATGTCCCTCTTATGGCGTCAATATTTAGTGATAGCCGCTGGCTCTTGGGCTGATTTTTGTTGAAGCATATTTGTTGACTGTTTTGTACGATCATGGACAAGAACTAAACTTCAAAGTGTTGTTTTGGTGTTTGTGGTGAACAATTGAATTTTGTATTGTACTAGGGGTAAACTGGCATTGCTTTGTGTCTATATATCATTTGAGGTGCCTTGAGGTGCTATTAGTCAAAATTGCTAGTAAAAATCGCTAATTTTAGGAGATTTAAGGGATCTTCAGTGGCCTAGGCTCCGCACCGATATCGACGTCCTTTTGAAATAGTGACGTCCTTGCGGCTTCAATCACACTCTCCGAAAAATCAATTTCAGGACACTGTCTGTATACGGTATCGGGGAGACCGGGGCAGCGTTTCACGGCCGCGCGCAGCGGTGGAAACACAATTTCAAATGTTGTGCATGGTGGGATCCACTCAGATATAGATCCATGTTCTCGGTTTATCGACAGATCCTATGAGACCATAGATCCAGGATATAATAGGTATATTTCCTGCGGGCTCCCGTGGGATCATAGATCGCAAGTTATCCTTTGCTTTGATATCCACTGAGATCATAGGCCCATCACGCGGATCATGGACATGTCTGATTAGCGAAGTCTCTGCTGAACGCAAACAGATCGTGGTCATCTGACTCCCAATGATCACATTTTACAGTTAAAATCAAACCAAATCATCCCGCATGCCCTTCAATCCTAATGAAACCACCCATTTCCTGAGGGTCTAGTTTCTCAGGGTGTAAAATACACCTTGGTGTAAAATACTCTCAAGCTCTATGAAATCGGCCGCCGCCCCAGCGATCTTTGACTCGGACAATACAAGAAAGGAGACTGGAAATCCTGCCCTCCTTGAATACACTAGAGGCTAGCAAAAGACGATACTAACTAAGAGGAAAAACAAACGCGCTCAGATTTTTTAGGGGGCAAACGTACCATTCATAAATGAAATACCTAAGCATGGCTCATTAACAAAGCTGATAGTAGCTAGGTATATTCCTGTACGCTTCTAACCCTGGCAGGCGTTACGTTCCTTTTATTTTCATACACATGGCTGCAAAGCGGCCAAGTGGCCCCTAGCCGAGTAATTTGATCGATTATAGCCCATCTAGATAATATGTATTTCTATTTGGGCGGAAAGCAGAGCTTTGATACCTTTCCGTGTAGTGGCACTAGTAATGACAAATAATTAGACTTGCCATTTGATTCACTTGTGTCGATTACCGCCCAGGTGTGGCGGCCAATTTGCCCATGGCCGGCCAATCTGCCTCCAGCTGTTAGCTGTTAGGGCCGCCCAGCTGTGAGTCTCCGACCGAGTGCACCCCGCCCCGCTCCAACGGACCCAACCGGACCGGGGCTGTCGAGACGCTACTCGCCTTACCAAGAAGCCGCAGGTTATCAACGAACCGGCATATGTACCCACACGAAACCCTGGATGGAACGCGACTGCATCCGGTGAGACTGCTTATGCACGACACGATATCGGATCGCCGTATTACGTTGCATTACGTACTTCTAGTCAATAGGTTACTACATGTCAATCATATGCATTTCGATATAAAGACAGAGATAAACAAATGAGGATTGGCGCCCGTTGCACTGTAATAGTGTAATACCCTGTGCCTTGTACCACTGCATAACAAAAAGTGCAGTAAAGAAAAGGCATGCGTTTCTTAACCATCAGCCACAAAAAAAAATTGAGGGCAGCATCACCAGCGGCCACAGCAGTCACGGTATGAATGGATGGACGGTGGACATGACATTTCAACGCCCAATCTCCCTCATACCTAGCATGCTGGGGGAAACTTTATTGACGCCCTCCCCCTTGAACGCGGCGTTAACCCCTCTCCCGGCGTTCACCCACCTCGTCGAGGAACTTGGTGACGTTGTAGACCCTGTCGTGGATGACCATCCAGACGTCCTTGTCGCTGGCGTGCTCCTCCACCTCCTTCAGCGAGTAGACCTTCATCTCGGCCGGCATGGTGGCGGCAGCGGGGCGGCGCTCCTGCGGACACTGAACACCCGGCGGCGCGTGCGTCACAGCCAGTCCAGTCAGCCGGATCCGGCGAGTGGCACAGCTCCGGCGCCGCTGTCACACACAGCTCGGACGTCCCGCGCGGCCGACTGAGACCCGGGTTGGTCAGTGGTCACACCGGCGCGGCAGGTCGGCGGGAGCGGACTGCGGAGCGGGGACGGGCGCGCCGGGCGGACGACGGAGCGGCAGTGAGCCGCGCCGGCCGCCGCGGCGCACCCCCCCCCCCCTCCCCGGCCGGGGAGGGGAGGGGGACAAAAGAGGGCGGTGGCGCCGCCATCGGCTCAGCACTTCAGCAGCCAGTCACGCCGGCGCGCCGCACCCAAAGGCCATACAAGTCATGCATCCATGCACTGTCCAGTCCAATATCCATCCACGGATGGAAAGAGGGATGGCGTTGGAATCATTTTAGGTGCCTATCGGACCTCCGGCCTCTCGACCTCTAGGCTTGAGCTTTGCTTATTCAGGTCAATGACAAGTGTCGAGAAAATCGGGACCAACTGTAACTTCTAGAAGTGAGATCTTATGGCCTCCATTGATTTCAGAAGAGAGCTCACAAGTCAATGCTTATAATTGGGTCAAAGCCATGTTTTCTGGGCGGGTAAAAAAATGACCGGTTTGAAGCTAATTTTGCCGTGATCCGCGCAGGCGCGTAACCACCACTGGGGACACTGGGGACCGGTCCCCAGTAGCTTTTGGGTTACTGGGGACCGTCCCCAGTAAAACCGACGACCTCCTCAATTTGCTTAAATAGCCAAATATTGTCTCTAAATCGACGTGAAGAGTCGATTTGTCTTCTGTTGACTACATCTAAATCGATGTAGTCAACATAAGACAAAACTATGGATGTTTTGTTTAGCCCTCGCCCGGGTGGGCCTTTCAAGTTTCAGCCAGCTTCGCCATGGGGGGAGGGGGCTTTTTGGCCACACTGCAGATCATCTCGGAAAGTAAGCAATTTAGAAAGACGCATTAAAAAGCAATAGATAGCTCGCTGCGTATGTTTCAGAATTACGCTTATTTTTGATTAGGTCATCGCTGAGGTCACTGGAGGTCACCAAAGGTAAAATTTTCACAAACTTTTGTTCCCAATTTTGACAGCTTTTCACAAATCGGCGCATAAGTCGGGAACCAATAGAGCTTCAATGCGGCGGGGAAGCGCATTCAATAGCTCTTTTAAAGGCCTTTCTGATCAATGTCCTCAGATTTGACCTAAGGTCAACGGTTTAGCCTCCAGGTTGGCGTTTTTGCGGGATAGGTTTTTGTATAATAACTTTTGCCTCCAAATGACGCTGATTTTACGGCATCGCGTTCGTCTCGTTGAGACGCGTCGAATAAATTATAAGTCTGGAAATATTGAACTCTGGTCATGGTCACGGAAAAGGTCATGTTGCATGTCATTCGGTTAGTATTGTTGAGCTGAACACATTCATCGTGTTTTCAGCGCTCTAGCATATTTCTACCTAAAGTTATGGTAAAAAACTCATGGAGATGTTTCATGGCCTGAGATGACCTCAAGGGCATACAGTTGTACACAGTTGCAATTAACCGGTTCAGTGTGCCATTTTTACCTGTGTCACTGTGTTTCAATGTGTCTTCGGCCTTAAGATCATTTCAATTTTCTCCCATTGACTTATGGGAGAAAATTGGAAAATTGGAAAATGGAGAGCTCGCAAAATTGACCTGACTTTAGGTCACCGATGTGAAGACTTAAGAGATATACGAATTCTTCACATTGATTTCCTCATGCTAAAGCTCGAGTTTCAAACTTTTGGAATGTTGACTGTAGGAATGACAGTCGCATAGTTTTTTAGAGGCATGGTTACTTTACTTGACCTGGTGACCTGACCTCAGGTGACCTGGGGTCAAAATCTTCACACATGATGCGAAATTGAGGCATCATAAGCTATTCCAAGTTTCGCGGCGGTGCGAGCGGCGGTTTCCCTTAAACGCGCAAAAAATGGCAGGTGTGTCCAAAAACGCCCCCCCCCCCCTCCCCCACTCGGGCGAAGGCTGATCCTGAAATATAAATTTTGGTCTTCGCAGCCCTCCATGTGGTCCCCAGTGACTTCGGCCTCGTGGTTACGCGCCTGGATCCGCGCTTTTACGCGAGTTATTTACGCTAGCACCTGCTGCCCCAACATGTACGATAATTAAATTGATACATGCGATGTTTTGTGAAAGACCTGTCATCTTTTAATTTGATGCATTGGAAATGCAGAAAAACAAGAGTTACGGTCAGGTTTGGAGTTTCAGTAAACTTGGTCATTGTGTCAGCAATGGGGTCTGGTAGGTGGGGGCAATGGCCCTGCCTGGTGCCCATAAAGGTGGTACGACCCCGAAAGACCTGCCGACCACTGCAATGGAGCTACAGCGCCGCGGAAAAGCGCATTCCATAGCTCTTCCAACACTCTTTCGGCAACATGTGCTCAGATTTGACCTCAGGTCAACGATTTAGCCTTCAGAGGGCAATAGCTCTAAAAAGAGCCTTTTTCATGGAAAAGTTTCCGGTAATAGCTTTTGTGTTTTGACTCAAGGGGGCCACCACATTACTTTTGCCAGCATTGTGTTCCTCTTGTTGAGACACATCCAATGAACTATAAATTGACCTTGAAAGGTCATTTTGAAAATCTGACCTCAGATCAAGGTCATGACTTGACCAGAAAGGGTCATGTTGCATATCAGTCAATCTGTATTGTCGAGCTGAACAAATCTGATGCTTTCACCGCTCTAGCTCATTTCTAAGTTAAAGGAAATAGTTCACTTTTTAACATGGGTTTTGAACTGGAATAGCAGTTCCGTAGCTTGGGCTGAGACGAGCATAAATCAGGAGCTTTTACAGCCCAACGATCACCCTAGGCAAAGATATTCTATTTCTCGTCCCGAAAAAGGTGTCTTGCGTTGAGGATGTGTGCCTTGCATATATTTCCATCCAGTATGAAAAGAGCATGGGTCCCGAAAATTATTCAGAAACTAGAGAAATTATCTACGAGAACTCTAGAGAAATTCTCGTTCTGATCAATTAGGACATTCAGGGGAACATTATCAGATCGAGCAGTTCGCCCAAATGCCGGTGGCTGCGATAATTTCTCTGTTTCTGAAGAATTTTCGGGACCCATGCTCTTTTCATACTGGATCGCTTGTGCCTTACAGAAACTGAAAAGTTCTTCCTATATCAAAAGATAGAAAAAAAAATCTTTTGTTATAAAAAGGTTTTATTTTCTTTGCTGATTATTTTGAACATAAAAAATAATAAATCGTTGCAAAAAAAAATAATTTCGTGAAAGTGAACTATTTCCTTTAAAGTAAAAAAACTAATGGTGACCTTTCACGACCTGAGATATGATCTCAGGGTCACACGAAATTATTAATACAGCATTTCCATGCTACAGTATTAAAAACTACAGTATTATATCTGCCTGTTATAACTTGCTCAGCTGATCATCATTATGATTTACCACAGAAATACCTACACACAGTCTACACTTCAAATCACTTGAAGTCTTCACATCAAGTGACTTTATTCACTTGAAATTTACCTTTCCTACCGTAGGCAGATAATGTAGTAGCAGCACTAAACAAACATTTTTATTGAGCTACAATTGCCAACAAAGATAACTGAAATCACAAAACCACTTGATAAAACTGACCCGTTGGGTTTCCTCACTCAGCACCATGCCCGACGAGGGAGGTGTGGAATGAGAAGAAAACCATGTCATCGAACAGACGTGCCAGCCCCATGGTGGCAATGGGGGAATTAATTACATCGGCTTAGTGTTTTTTGGGAAGTTTGGCTCTGTACTTGGTACGGTAAATATTTTATATATGTGGAGTCATAAGCATGTAAATATACAATATTGATATGTGTCAAAATTCAACACATCCTTCTCCGCACCACTCCCCGACTGGAAAAAATGCACGCTTTCGTCGAGAACTCGAGCGTAGTTGGGCGTTTGCGCCGAAAATTTTCGGCGTACTTCGGCGTAAATCGACGGCTTGCGCCGAAATTTTCGGCGTACTTCGGCGTAAATCGCGAAAAAAAAACGTCCGGGGGGAGGCACCAACCCCCTCGGCCGGCGAGGGTTAAATGTCTTCGGGAGTTAAACATCTTAAATATCACTTATCTTGTCTCGTGTTCGTCTCAGGGTATTTAAGTCATGTTCAGTGAACCTGATTGCGACTCTCCCACGGCGGGAACAGTTCAACGATCCAGAGTGAGGTTATGGATTGTCGGATCCCCTAGTTCAGATAACGTATGCTATCGTGTGCGTATTGACCGTTGTGATTCCTGTATTTCCGGCGTGTGGTTTGTGAGCGGACGCTTGCAATCGGTCCCGCGTGGCCTGGTATCTGCCCGATCCCATCGGCCGTGCTTGCACCACGCCTGTTGAAGGCCCCGTCAGGCGTCAGTCACCGGCTGGGCACTACTGCTGATCAGAGCCGGGCAACAAAATAAAGGTTACGTTATGGAACATGCCAGTGAGTTTGTGAGTTAGGAGATTTTGTGATAGCGAACCCTGGTGCTCGGTCCCGCATGGCCTGCTGATGTCTTTTGTCTGCCCGATCCCGTCGACCGTGCCAACAACCGTCTGTAGACAGTAGTCACTGGAAGACAGTCACACACACACGCCAGCCCCCCCCCCCCCTCGACGAAAAGTACGTGGCTACAGCCTGCAGCCATCAGTAAGCCTTGAAAATTTTCGGCGCATGAAGCATGGCTTGGTAAAATAATTTCGGCGCATAAACCATTGCGCCGAAATTTCGGCGCATCACCTCCGCCCAAGCCGCCCAAGGCCCTAAAACATAAGGTTGGACGAAGTTTTCTACCAAAAATGTACTAGAATAGCGTACGAGTCAAAGCTATTTCCGTTGTTTCTTTACAAATATGTCGCAAACAGGCTTTTTCTGTAATAAATCATTATTTCGAAGTTAAGCAACCAGTTGCTATAAATTCGATAAGCAAACACTTATTTTCTATATAAAAG